AATCAAAAATGAAGTACGGTAAAATTAATAATACACTATTTTGGCTAGCTAAGATAGATTAGGGTACTGTAGAGCAGGGCTAGGATACGCTAGGCTAGGGCGCATGGCTTTCGGCTAGGGCTAAAGCTTTGGGCTAGAGCTCTGGTTTAGGGCTCTGGACTAGGGCTCTGGGCTAGGGCTCTGGGCTAGGGCTCTGGGCTAGGGCTCTGGGCTAGGGCTCTGGGCTAGGGCTCTGGGCTAGGGCTCTGGGCTAGGGCTCTGGGCTAGGGCTCTGGGCTAGGGCTCTGGGCTAGGGCTCTGGGCTAGGGCTCTGGGCTAGGGCTCTGGGCTAGGGCTCTGGGCTAGGGCTCTGGGCTAGGGCTCTGGGCTAGGGCTCTGGGCTAGGGCTCTGGGCTAGGGCTCTGGGCTAGGGCTCTGGGCTAGGGCTCTGGGCTAGGGCTCTGGGCTAGGGCTCTGGGCTAGGGCTCTGGGCTAGGGCTCTGGGCTAGGGCTCTGGGCTAGGGCTCTGGGCTAGGGCTCTGGGCTAGGGCTCTGGGCTAGGGCTCTGGGCTAGGGCTCTGGGCTAGGGCTCTGGGCTAGGGCTCTGGGCTAGGGCTCTGGGCTAGGGCTCTGGGCTAGGGCTCTGGGCTAGGGCTCTGGGCTAGGGCTCTGGGCTAGGGCTCTGGGCTACGGCTCTGGGCTAGGGCTCTGGGCTAGGGCTGTGGGCTAGGGCTCTGGGCTAAGGCTCTGGGCTAGGGCTAGGGCTCTTGGCTAAGGCTCTGGGCTAGGGCTAGGGCTAGGGCTATATATAGGACATGGTTTATAATTTGTAGCCAATTACTCAATTGTGCAAATTAGATTAAAAGTAAGCTAATCTTTGAGCTACACTGCACTGTTAGGTTAATTTAGATAGCTGGTCACTTGCACTTTTATAACTTATGAAGCGCTGTTTATATAAAGCTAGGGCTTTTTTTAATCTGCCAAAAATAAGCTAGAGCTATAGCTACGGTTTGTTTGCTACACCGTTTATTAGTTAAACCTACGCCTTTTCTCAAACTCTGTCATTCTAAAATGCATCTTTAGGCATCTTCTAGTCAGTTAAACAATCTGAAAGACGCTGCTTAACTACCGTATTAGATTTGACATTTTGTTTTGGCGCATTAGTCATGCATTGTTTATTAATGTTCCTAATACCTTTACACCAAAGTGCACTCCTCCGTCTTCTACGCTTTTTTAATATTGCCAATGTTAATATAACCACATGGTTAAGAAAGATATTGTTTTTGTTAAGAAAGGCACCTTTATGTTACACTCGTTTGCTTAAGACAACCGTATCGTCTTTAAAAGTACTAATACTTTAGGCGGATTACCTTTTTTATTACCTATTGTTTCAGCCGAAGGTGTGTTTACTTTTTAGTTTGTGTCTTTTATCTTGGAATACCCATGTCACATAAAGTGATGTGTGAAATGTAGGTGAATTATTGAGACAAAAGTAAATGTAGGTTGACGTTTTACTGGGTTTTTGCTGAACAGGCTATAATCTTTTGGTGGTGCAGAACAGTGTATAGTATCCTTAAAAGTACTGTAGTAAGGTATAAGTAATGAACACCCCTGGTTAAGGTGGGGTAGAGCACGACTAGGACTAAGGCTAAGGCTAAGCATAAGGCTAAGCATAAGGCTAAGGCTAAAGCTAAGCATAAGGTTAAGGCTAAGGCTAAGGCTAAGGCTAAGGCTAAGGCTAAGGCTAAAGCTAAGTTTAGAGCCCAAACTAAAGCTAAGTCTATTGTTAAGGTTTTAAACTATCGGTAAAATCTAGCCTAGGCTTATAAAAGTGGTATAGAAACTACAAATGTAATACTATACAGGTTGAAAAAGAGCTTGAACAAATTGAACAAAAACGTTACCAAATACGGCATTTTGTGCAAAAATAGACAATTTCCGATCTTAAACACTATTGGATTACCTAGTGATACTAGTCAACTATTATGTTTTATTTTTACTTCAAGTTTTTGCCGTTTTCAATTTAAAGATATTTATAGTAATTTATATTGTAGTAGGGTCAAAGTCAATAATTAGATCGCTTGTCATTTTTGTAAAATACGGATTTGCTCTCTGTGTGAAAGTTATTAGCTTAAGTTGTAGTACACCCACACCCTAACTTATAGACTCCCACATCCTAAAGTCAAGATGACGGTGATAACTTCCATTTTAAGAAGGTGCGAGTTCCGGTTAAATTTAAGCTATTACATGAGATCATAGACAAAATATAATACCACATAATACCTTAAGTCGTCTATTAAAGTGTATTCGCGAGTAGACAATCGACATGTATAATGTTATATGTGTGGTAGATGCGAGGATATTTATAGTTAGAGGCAATACACGTTGGAGCAGATGCTTGAGTTTTTAGGTTTGTTCACTTGATTGGCGGTTTAAAAAGCGCTGAGAAATTGTTAGGACGGTAATGATGACACCTATTGCACAGCGCAATTCTAGATTGGGAAATGACACAGCTTCAGGCTAGGCAATAGAATAGATTTAGGCTAAACTTTCGAATAGATGGTGTATTAGACGAATGACATTTTCAACGTAGTACAAAGCAAAGTAAGATCACGTTGAGATGATTATAAGATTTTTTGGCAATTTCATTATTAATACCGGGTTATTAATACCAAAACCTCTTTCATCATTTAACCATTTGTCAGCGAAGTTAAGTGTGTCAATTTTATGTTACGAAAACCGTCAAGTATTACCTACAATTTTTTAAAACTTTCAAAGAATAGTACAATAAACAGGTGACGGAAATTTGTTAATGTACAATTTAAAAACAGTTTTTAAGTGTACTAGGGATGATATTATGGCATTTTAAGTGTGATGTATATTAGGTATGATGTGTTTTTTTTTCAATGAGTGTTATGTTTGTATGTAATATGTGCGACCGGAAAAGGTAAAAAAGGGTTTTGGGAATGACATTTATAATTTTTGAATGATGTTAGCAAATCATCATAGGTAGTAGTAGGCATGAATTATAACTATATGTTCATATGTTCCCTATTTCTTGCTCCATCTCATCATTTATGGCCTAATTTTTTCAATTCTTTTTAAGACCTCATTTGATCTTTATTCGACATTTAATTTTCGTGGTTTTGCTGATAAATAAACGGCAAGAATTATCGATACTTTTTTATTTCAGTTCTTTGTCCAGTGGTGAAACGTCGTGCTTACCGTGATGTTAGTTTTGCATTTTGCTACAAACGTCTTTTTTGTACAAGGAGTGACGTTTTGATAATTATTTCTATTTGGAGCAAGCGGGAAATGATGAGAAGAAGACTAGTACAACTGTGAAGCTACAACAGCGGTTTTAATTACAACAGCAATTTGACAGGTTCGTTTACCAACTCATTATATTACTGTTCTTTCAACTGTATCTCTTGTAAACTCAGAGTATGAAGTTGCTTCTAACAAAGCTCACCATGTCCTAACAGATGGCAAAACCTATCATAATGCACCTTACGGAAAGGCCCGAAATCAGACCGACTTATCAAGACGCTGCTTATACTACCGCTAAAATAACTACCGCCATCACAATTCACATCAACGTCTCACAATAGACACAGACGATTGCCTTATGTCATTGCCACTTGTAGGTCAACGCCATGCTTCTTTAACCGTCGGAATGTGCCTTCAATTTCGTATTTGATACCCGCGTCCTAATACAAAACTTGTTGTAGCTAAATCTATGGTAACACCGACGGATTTGTAGTCGATTTCATTTCGACGCCATTGGTTTTGTAGCTTCACGTCGACTCTTAAGCGCCCCTCCCCCTTATAGGGAACGAACAGGAGGGGCGGAGCTAATTATGGTGTCGACAGGAATATTGCTTTTACATTATGATATACATGCTATTGTAGACATAATGACAATCGAATAGTGTTTTAGTTTGTTTTTTATAATTGAGTTAGGTTTAAGGGTGTGGTACTGTTTTGTAAGCGATTGTTTTGGGGGGTTTGGTACTGGTTTTTGTACTTTTAAGGGGGTTTTTCTTTAGTCCAATGTTAAAATAGTTTTGTTTTATTTTATAGTTTCTGGGCGGCTAAACTAGTTTTACAACTGCACGGTGCAATTTCTGTTTTTGTTTACACTATATGTACTTACTATTAACTTACTAGTTTGCACGGTGCAATTTTTAAATATCTATTAAATAAAAATAAGTTTGGAGTGTATATTGTATTGTATAATATGGTTGTTGGTATAATTTTATCACCATTTTTTTAAATTACTGTAGATGATCAAGCTTAATTTTTAAACAAAAAAATTTTATTGAAATTTTAACTTTTCTCGAAATTTCATAAAAAATTAAAAACCGCGTTATGAGCCAACATTTACCATATCAATTTTACTGTTGATTAGCATAATTCGATTCGTAATTTGTGTGGTTTTTTTTATGAATTTTACCCCATTTTTCCGGTTAATTTCATAAATTTTTTTTCGCGGCGTGACTCTCGAACGTACTCTAAATTTAGGCCACGTACTTTGAATGAAAAAAAAACCCACTCGATTTCGATTACATTACGTTTTTGGGGTCACGTATCTATAATTTGAACTTTTTTAGAATTTTGGATTTTTTTGAGATTTTTAAAATTAAAAATTTTTTTTTTAATTTGACGTTTTTGGGCTATAATATTATTGGATAGCAATTTCTAAATAGCTTACAGTCATTTTGTGTTGTTTTTTTAGAAATCTCAAAGAGGGTTAAATTGGAAAAAAATTGTAAGCTTGCACCGTGCAGGCCACAAAACGCTATATAAATAGGGGTTGCACGGTGCAGTGCAAACAATATGGTTTTTTTTCATTGATAGTGCGTATTTTAGATCTTTAATGATTGTAGTGGTTTAATCAGCTCCGTATTTTACTTTTTAATAAATTTATTTGTGGTTTAAAAAATTTTTTTTATTGTATGTTTAAAAACATTTTTAAATTTAAAAAAATCGGCTTCAGGGTCAAAAATAAGAACAAAGGAATGGGCTTGGTCGTTTATTTACTGTTATTGTGGTCGCAAACGATAGTCGACGCGTTTCCATTGAGTGCAGCGTTGCACGGTGCAGTCCTTAATGCGCGACGATGCCCACCATTAAGCGATGTCGCGTCGCTGAGTTTCGCCGAACCGCCGCATGTTGTTGTAAGGGACGAGGAACAGTTCGCGTGCAAACGACTGGTCGAATGTGATGTGATGACGTCACCGCCGGAGGTGGGTTTTAAAATTTTTGAAAGTTTTAAATTTTTTTAAATTTTTAAATTTTTTTTAAAAATTGCCATTTTATGTTATACGAATGTCAAAATTACCTGTTTTTGACTTTTTACTATTTAAAAAAAATCTTTTGCCGTACAGTGCAGAACTAAGAAAACTCATTGCACAGTGCAATTCTCATTTATATAGGAATTTTGGCCTTGCACTGTGCAGAGCTTATTTATATAGCAATTTCGCCCTTGCACGGTGCAAAATATTAAAAACACGTGAATTTTTAAAAATGGTCAGTTAAAAATTTCTGCAAATTTAGGACATAAAAAGAAAAGTCAAAATAAATTATTAGGGCGTGGGAATTGCAAAACTACGTGTTAATTAGAAATCTTTTTAACGTTTAACTAGTCACCAAATCACACCTGTTTAAGATGTTGTAAAAGTTCAAATTGTACTGTATTTTAATTTTATTGTACTTTGAAATCCTTTTTTTACATTTTGAACTTAAAATCTTTTGTTTTTAGTTAAGAATTCGGTATGAAATGACGTTTTTCGATCAAAAAATGGCATTTTTAGAAAAAATCCATGATTTTTTGTACTTTTTATGCCATTTCTAATCGAATACCCAAAATTATCGACTAAGTTCAACATGGCCTATAAACTTTGGGTTGGGATGTTTGTTCAGGCGTTTTCTAATTTGGAATTCCGCGCCTTTTGACATCATCAACCGGCTTTAATTTAGCTCCAATCTGCTGTCTTTTCCCACCGGAAATGAACTGCATCGTGCGGTCCAAAAAACCAAAAAAAGTCGAGAGTTAAGGTCAGATGCACCCAAAATTATGGTAATACTTGAGATTTTTTGGGATTTATGCTACAAAAATGGCAAGAACTTTCTTTACAAAGTCAAAAATGGCAAGAAATTTTGTTCCAAAACAAGAATGGCAATAACTTTCTTTACAGAACACAAAATGGCAAGAACTTCCTTTACAAAGCATAAAATGGCAAGAACTTTTTTTACAAAACAAGAAATGGCAAGAAGTTTCTTTACAGAACACAAAATGGCCAGAACTTTCTTTACGTCCTGATCGTAGCCCTAGTCCTAGCTTCAGCTCTAGCCTGAGGCCCTGCAAGCCCAAATCTAACATTAACCCTTAGGTCTGAGTCAAAGCCGAAGCATAACTCATAATACAATTCTAAACCTAAAGCTAATCTTAAGCATAAACTTCAGCATTAACCTAGACGACTTACATTACTATCACAATGATAATGAATATTACTTTGTACTGTTATATCCTACTCTACTCTACCCTACCCAGCCCTACCTTTTTTAAAACCTTCCAATTTCAGACAAACGTCTACTGGTTCGTGAACCAAGAAATGGTGCATTCAGTAGCGCAACGTGACATTACATTGGAAGAGAATCCAGAACAAACCATTTTGGGCGTGAGTCAAACAAGGCATCGATTCTGTTTGGATCCGTTCCTGAAGCCGGGCCAAGAAAACACAGTCAAGTGCCGAGTGCAGAGTAGTTGCAAGTCGGATGTCATCATTGAGAGTCCGCCATTAGTCACTATGGGACCTTGTAAGTTGTTTTAAGCGCATTTTTTAAAAGATGTAAAATCCAATAATTTTTGTGACTACATGGCTTGAAAATGCATTAAAACATTTGTTTTGGTAAGTTAGGGTTGTTAAATGACTTTATAAGTTAATTTTAGGCATTTTTGAAAAAAACGATAATTTTTGTGACATTTCGTTACAGGTTTTTAAAAGTCACAAAAAGTATTTTTTTATGACTTTGGTTGATTTTATAACTTTTTAAGTGATTTTTGGATGTTTTAATTAATCGATAATTTTTATGACATTCCGTCACATTTTAAAATTTTGTGGTATAACTGCCTTTCTTAATTAAAAATAGCTAAATTATTATAAAAGACGTTAGTATGTTGTGTTTTACACTCTATATTTTACTTTTCTGATCTCGTTTCCTACAATTCCATTCATACCCCTCATTAACAATGGCAATGTGAACAAAAGACAACGTAGCCTACATTCGGGCATTTTTTTGTTGAAAACCAACTTTCTTTTGTCAAATTAACACGTTTTTCACAATTTTTGTGTGAAATTACAACAGGATACGTCGCATGACATACGACGGCGTTGATTGTAGTCGGCGCACGAGTGATATTACTATGGTAACCATAGTAATGTGATGAGTACAATTTTTGAGTAGCATCCGATGATAATTTTAACGATTTCAAACTTTTTGACGTAAAACGGAAACGTTTTTTTAGTCGAAAATGTACTTTTAAGTTTTCTCAACGAAATTTGAATTTTTAGCTTTGAAAAAAATTTTTAATTTTTTTTTAAATTTTTGAAAAAAAACCCTTAAAATTACTAAAGACACATTGAAAAAGCACTTTTTCAAGCCCCCAAATATCATATTAAAAATTGCCAATCATTCACAACTTTTTATTTTTTTGATCAAATTTTCAACTTAAACAACATAAATAACAGTTGATATTGAATACGATAGCTTAGAATAAAGTAAGAAATAATAATTTTATGTTTTTAGTTTAAACTCTTCATTTTATAATGGCACAATAAGTTATCACTGTTGACTGCACCGTGCAACGTTTTTTCGGACTGCACGGTGCGATCCTTTTTTTGTTGATTTAATCAATGTTTTTGAGGTTTTTTTGGGGGAAAAATTAAAGTACTCGTATTTTACAAAATTAAAAAATTTTTAGAATAGTTTTTAAGCCTAAATTTTAAAAAAAATTTTATTTTAATTTTGTAAATTTTTAACTTTTTGAACTCTGAATCTAAGCCTCTTTACTGATATATGATTCTGTAATAGTATAAATCAGACCAGTACCGTACAAAATGTAGGGTAGGGAAGAGTAGGGTAGGGTAGGGAAGGGAAGGGTAGGGTAGGGTAGGGTAGGGCAGGGTAGGGTAGGGTAGGGTAGGGTAGGGTAGGGTAGGGTAGGGTAGGGTAGGGTAGGGTAGGGGTAGGGTAGGGTAGGGTAGGGTAGGGTAGGGTAGGGTAGGGTAGGGTAGTGTAGTGTAGGGAAGGGTAGGTTAGGGTAGGGTAGGGTAGGGTAGGGTAGGGTAGGGTAGGGTAGGGTAGGGGTAGGGTAGGGTAGGGTAGGGTAGTGTAGTGTAGGGAAGGGTAGGTTAGGGTAGGGTAGGGTAGGGTAGGGTAGGGTAGGGTAGGGTAGGGTAGGGTAGGGTAGGGTAGGGTAGGGTAGGGTAGGGTAGGGTAGGGTAGTGTAGTGTAGTGTAGGGAAGGGTAGGTTAGGGTAGGGTAGGGTAGGGTAGGGTAGGGTAGGGTAGGGTAGGGTAGGGTAGTGTAGGGAAGGGTAGGTTAGGGTAGGATAGGGTAGGGTAAGACACGGAACGGCACGTCAAGCCAGGGCAACCCGTATTACAAAATTTTCATACTACGTAATTAAAAACGCCTGAGGGATTAAAAATGATAGCCTAGAGTCATACTTTAAATTTTGTTTAAAAATGCACATAATATAATATCCCAGTACGTATTTTACGTGCATGATGATACACTCTTTAGCTTATAGTACATCTAATGATGTTATACCGAGACAATAAGCTGTAAATTTATCCTATTTAATATGTATTACTGTAAAAAACAATGAAAGTCATAATAAAAAATAAATTTTGATCTAATTTTGGCAAGAACTTTCTTTACATGCCAAAAAGTTGCAAAAACTTTCTTTACAAAACAAAAACGGCAAGAACTTTCTTTACAAGCCAACAAATTTCAAAAACTTTCTTTACAAAACAAAAACGGCAAGAACTTTCTTTACAAGCCAACAAATTTCAAAAACTTTCTTTACAAAACAAAAACGGCAAGAACTTTCTTTACAAGCCAACAAATGGCAAAAACTTTCCTTACAAGCCCAAATATCTAAAACTTTCCAAAAAACACCCCCTAAACCCTGAATTTTTCAGCCCATGCCAACCCACCACTAACCAAATACTCACCACAAGCCCCACTGATCACATTAGTAACGGCGACACGAATGGAGATTGCTGGTCAATTCGTCCAATTGTTCTGTCATGCAACCGGTAAACCCAAGCCCAGCATCGAATGGATGGTGCTGGACGACGTGGAGGAAGGCAAGGTGTATCCTGTCTCGGCGTTCAAGGAATTCATTTATGTAGGTTTCAGACTTATTTGGTTACTTTTTTATATTTTTAAGCTTAAAAATTTTAAAAATATTGCACGGTGCAATCGGAAATTCGATTGCACAGTGCAAAATTTTGAAATTTACGTAAAATTTTAATTGAAATAGAAAAATGATTAAAAATGACTTTAATGGGTTTAGAGTAAGCCTGAAACTATACTGTTAACATTTTATTATCAGATCGTTAAAATTGTCCATAAACCAGGGAGTTTAATATTTCGGACCGTGCAAGCCAAATTTTGACTGCACAGTGCAATTTTTTTAAATTGGTGTAAAATTTGTATTGGAATAGAAAAATGAGTAAAAATGACTTTCGCGAGTTTAGAGTAAGCCTTAAGTCATACTGTTAACATTTTATTATCAGATCATTGAAACCGGCCGAAAAACAGTAAATTAAATATTCTGCACCGTGCAATCGAAAAACTGACTGCACGATGCAAAATTAGTCTGAAATCATATTGTAAAAATTTCAAATCGATAACTTTTATATTACTCTCGTTATGAGAATGTCAAATCGATTGCACCGTGCAAAACATAAATTCTTGGCACTGTGCAAAATTTTAAAATCTTTTTGTAAAATTCAAAACAAATGTTTAAATTTTAAAAACTGATTAAATCACATTAAAAGTAGTCTAAAATCATAATGTAAAAATTTCAAACAATAGGTTTTATATTAATCTTATTATGGACGTGTCAAATCGACTGCACCGTGCAATCAAAAAAACCTTTTGCCAGGTTTTTTGGGTAAAAACTCGATTTTTTTCGCATTTTTTAATAATTCTATTAAAACTTTAATGAAAAACAAGTAATATAAAGTATTTACAATTACAAATTGTAAATAAATATTAATGTCACATTAAAAGTGAACGGTCGATGGCGTTAATTTTTGAATAATTCAAGTTCAGGTGAAACGACATAACAAAAAAGCATCTGGCCGCGATTTTAATGCATATTCAATTACAAATCACTATAATAAGTAACAGTTTGCGAGACAATTTGCGTAATTTGTTTATATGACAAATTGAATGGACATATGATAGGAAATTCAATTAGAGATACAATTTTAATAGTGTAAAACGTAATAATTTTGTTATACTGTGATATTTTGGAGTTTAAGAACACATGAGTTTAGTTTTGGCAGTTCAAAAGCACAAAAAAAAGTTTTTTAGATTTTGCACTGTGCAATGAATTTTCGGATTGCACGGTGCAGTCAATTTGACATGCCCATAATGAGGTTAATATAAAACCTATTGTTTTGAAAATTTTACAGTATGATTGTAGACTAATTTAAGTGTCATTTGACTAGTTTCTAAAGATTTAAAAATTTTTTTAAATTTTATAAAAATTTTAAAAAAATTTTGCACAGTACAAAGAAATTATGGATTGCACAGTGCAGTCTTTTTAGCTTTGAAATCTTAAAATTTGAAACATTTTATACTAACCATGCCCCTTCTTTCAGATGCTAGAAGGCGGCGACATTTTAATAAACACAGCCGCCACCGACCGTGCCTCCATCACGCTACAATGCAACGCGAGTAACGAGGACGGATACGACGCGGCCGAATCGTCTTTGATCATTCTAGCGGCCAACGAATAGCGAAAACTCTGTTGACTATAAACTTTCTGACCGAATAAATGACGTTATTGCCGCGCTCTTCTAACCGCACAGTGTAAAGTTGGACATGAATTGTGAATTGATTAGCGTATTTTACATTACTGCGGTGGTTTGCTGGGTCTTGGATGGAGGTTAGGCTGCACGGTGCAGATTTTTTAGGTTTTCCACGGTGTAATCTTATTTTTAGTCTTTGCACTGTGCAGTCTCTTTTCTTATTTTTTTGCGCAATGAGTCATTTTTTGGCACCGTGCAATCATGTTTTTAGTCTTTGCACTGTGCAGTCGTTTTCCTTATTTCTGCACCGTGCACACATATTTCTATTCTTTGCACGGTGCAATGGCTTTTCATACTGCACTGTGCAGCTACTTTTTATAATCTCTGCACAGTGCAGTCGCTTTTCGTATTTCTTTGGCACTGTGCAATCATATTTTTAGGGTTTGCACAGTGCAATCTAGTTTTATACGCTTTGCACTGTGCAATCACTTTTTGATTCCCACTGCACTGCGCAACCTTCCCAAGATCTATCGAACCATTCAGTAGTACATTATATTGTTTGTAATTTTTTGTACTAATAACTAAATATCTTTTTGATACCAAAAACCATCGTTTTTTACTTGTTTTTTGATATTTATTCTAATAAATTAAGAGTTAATAGAGAATGGCATTTTGAATTGCACCGTGCAGTCGAATAATTTTTTAATGACAAAAGTAATATTATCCAACCAAAATTTTAGATTCCTATAATGAAAAACATTGCAAAATGACAATGAAAAACTATAGTTAAAATTTAATACCTAAAAGTTCTCGAAAAACTGCACAGTGCAAAGATTTTAAAAATTGATTGCACCGTGCAGTCCTTTTAGCCGTTCTTTATTAAAACAGCTAAAACTTGAAAAACTGTAACGTCACGGCTATATTAAACCATATTTTCCTTTCAAAATTGTTTTCTCAATAAGGTAATTACGATATGAATTGACATTTACACTTTTTTCAAAATTACTACAATCAACAAGTAATGCACCTATATTATTATTGGTCAGAAATAATGTTCTTCAGATTGCTTTGATGCTTTTCGAGTTGTTATTGTGAATATGACGTTCAGTACAATAAAAAAATTTTTTTTTCAAAAAATTTCAAAATTTTTAAAATTTTTTGGAAAAGTGTACCAAAAGCTGAAAACTGGTACCAAAAGTGAAAAACTTATACTAGAATTGTCAATATGGTACTATATAAGCATACTTATCACATTATCACCTAATTTTTCAAAATTGTTTAAAATTTGAAAAAATTGTGAAACGGTCCGCAAATTTAAAAAATTGTACTGATGTTTAAAAAACTGTACTAAACTGGCCCGAATACCACTTTTAGTACCAAATATTTTCAAAAATTTTATAAAAGTTACCTAGTTTTAACAAAATTAGCCAAATTCTTAAAATATTGTAGTAAATACCTATTATTTTAGGTATATCTTCTCAATTTTTACGCTGTAAACTCTTTTTTTCATCTTATTGTACCCCCATTGACATGAAAAATGTACCTATACATACCACAGATGTATCTTCCATTCATAAATCGACGCAAACATGTTTACAGTTTCGTTTGTACGACAATATTCAAGTAGTTTAAGCACTATTAAACTTGTAAAAGTCAGATTTACAACTTGTTTACATGGCAAACAATATTCTAATGCCATTTTACATGTTATTTTGTTGTTCTTGACATTACGACCGGTCGTAAATTAATGGTTTTGAACTGTAACACCCGGATTTTATTCTAATATTGTACGTCAGCTCAGTAAAAACCGATCGCATTGATGTAGTGGCCGGTGGAACAAGTAGAAACGTTATTGGAATTACGGTACAAAGCCTTCCCGGTTACTGTGAAATAAATTGGAAAGAAAGTTCTTGCCGTTTTGTACTGTAAAGAAAGTTCTTGCCATTTCTCGTTTTTTAATGAAAGTTCTTGCCATTTTTTGTTTCGTAAAGGAAGTTCTTGTCATTTTTTGACCTTCTACAAAATTTCATGCTCATTTCTCAGCTGTAAAGAAAGTTATTGCCGTTTTTCCTCTGTAAACAAAGTTCCTTCCATGCCTCATCCTGTAAACAAAATTATGCATAAAATTTTGCAAAATCCAAAAAAATCTCTTTCCACACTTACAATAACAACAATCACATCAAAACACGTTAATAACATCAAGATACGACGCTCTAAACACCAACATACGATGCCTAAGCCAATGTCAATATCATGTGAATCATCTTTACTATCACAACAAGTTTCAAAACAAGGTAAAGCGCATTGTAATTACAATTAAATTTTCCAAAACCAAACAAAAAACATCTTACAACATCGTGTAATACGATCACATTAACTTAATGACCAAACAACAACAATGTAAACACATTATTGTTGTTTTCTGATGTCAATAAATAAACACTTTAAGCGAAATTGATGTGATAAGTGCTTGGAAGATACTGGAATCGTTTTGGAGTAATTAAAAATGTAATTTTTACCAGTAAAATACGATTTGGAGAAGAGAAACAACATCCATTATGTTATACTTGACCTATGATGGAAAATTGGCTGTAACTTTGCGGAAAATTGATGTAGAAAGTTGATTTTCGTTTTAAAACGAAGAAAAAACATATATAAATAACATAAAAACACAAAACTGCTAAAAATTTACTTTAAAAAATTCGAAATTCAAGGACAAACTCAAGAGAAATGTTTAACACATTTATGTTTTGAGTCAACTGTTTCTTTTTAATTTATTTTATTTTTCGCGCTAAAAATCGACAAATTTCTGTTCATACCTCCGGAGGATGCTCCTCTAACCCTTCATTTTCTTAACTAAAAACGTTAATCTGTCTTTATTTTGTCTTCTAAACAATATTCTACATTAATAAAGGTTAAAATCGTCGATATATTGCCATAAACAAATTATGAGCTCCACAGACTCTTCGGTAAGTAAACTTCTTTCTAAAACAACATTTTTAGACTGTTTTGAAGCAAAGTTGCGACCATTTGGCATTCTTCAGTTTATGGTTGTTTTATTTTTTAGCCAGAGAAGGAGAAACGACGATCTCCAAGTTCAGAATCTGAAGGTATAGGTAGGAGTAGTCAAAGATCTGAACGATCCTTGAAAGAAGGCCGTAAAGAACGTGATAGAAGTCAGGATAGAGATGAAAGACGTAGATCAAGTGTAGAAAGAAATTATAAAGATAAAAGAAGTCAAGATGTAAGTTTTGAGGTCTATTTACATTGATTTTGGCTTTTAGGTTGATCGGAGTAGAAGAAAGAATGATGAAGATGATAGAAGGAGCCAAAGAAAGGATGATAGGCACTTAGATAGACGGGACAGACGTCGATCAAGGTCTAGAGAACGTTATCGACGACGATCACGATCAAATTCAAGAGAAAGAAGGGGTTATCGAGGTGATAGAGGTTTTAGAAGGTAGGATAATATAATTTCGGTTGTTTCTGAGGTTTTTGTAGCAATATTGTAGTAGGTTTGGTATTATTAGAATTATCATATATTATTCTTACTTTGATTGCTATATAACTAATAATTATATTGTTTTAGACGTCCACGATCACCAATAAGACCAAAACCACCTCCAACAGTGTTTAAGCGCAATAATGAGCCAGGAACTTCAGAAGAAGCTGTTAATCTTGAAGAGAAAGAAGCTAAATGGTCTACAAGAATTGCTGCTGTAGCTTCAGATGATTCACAACGATCTAAATTCGAAAAACTGCTGGGAATGCACAAAAAACCGGGTGAAAGCAACCTGAAACTCAAGAAAGTTGATGAATCTGAAGTGAAAGATCTTAAAAATAATTTGCAAAAGATGAAATCAGACTTGGATCGACAGTTTGAAGATGGCCGAAGCTTTACTCATTACAATAGAGGCAGGGGCTTTGGAATATAAACTGTTTTTGATGTGAATATTGTTAAAGTTATTGATTATACAGCAGGTTTTTGGTTAATAAACGATATTTTTGATTGATTTTGATGGGTTTTTGGATGTTGATGGTGAATATTGATTCCGTATTATATTTTTGGAGGTTTTTTGTGTTTCTTTGCATCTATATTATATTGTTTTAGGTAGTTATCTTCCTTAAAACATTGGGAATTAGCAATGAGCTCAGGTAAGAATCTTTTAACCTAAAGTAATATTTTACGCTTTTCTGGGGCGTTTTTTACTTCCAGTATAACAAAAAGTAGCATATTTTGATGATAATTCAATATATTATAATTTACTAATATTCGTATTTTAGACCCAATCTCCCACTACACATTCCCATCGACCTCTATGTTAACCGAGCTAGCCAGTAGATCAAAAACAAAATGTGGAGATTGTATAGGATGTTTGCGACAGAATAATTGTGAAAAATGCCTGAATTGTATAGCAAAAAGACCTTGTTTAAAAAGGCTTTGTGTTCAAACTCAAATCATTCTTGAAGCTAATGGGCGGCATGAGGATGGTGAGTCGGAAAATTTTTTAAAAAATAATTTGAACTTTGGGGAAAATTTTAAAGTTTATTGAAGTTTTTTTTTGTAAAATAAGATCCGTAAACTTGATATAAATAGAATATTTTTTGATTTTAATAGCTTTAACTATGACTAAGAAACACATTTTTTACTTTTTTTTATAATTTAGTCATCAAAAAACAGTCTTAATCAAAAAATTGTTTTTGACTGCACCGTGCAAACGTTAAAATTTACTTGCACAATGCATTTTTTAACCTTTTAGTCACGGTTTTTGGAATTTTTTGTATTAGTTTGCTCTTTTGTCGTATTTAGAATAAGTTCTCTAAAAATTTTAAAAAAATGATATTAAATTTGTCATTTTAGAGATACCCAAGTCCAAAAAGCCCCAAAAGAAGATAGGACGACCAAAAAAGGCACCACACGAGAGGAAGCCACGAAAAAGGTCTACAACAACATCGTCACAGCCGAAGGAACGAAAACTAAGGAATCAGAAGCAGCAGAAGGTCACTGTGATATCAAAAGAAGAGGTACGAAGGTCGCGTCAAAAGAATTGGTCAATTTTCTTAAGGAAACAGTGGAAAATTGGACAATTCTTTTTGACGCGGGCGGGTTTGGTGGGATAACTTTATATTTTGGGCTGTTTTAGGAGATTGTTGGTATAGGAGGTTGCAGATGCGTTAAATATAGAAGATGTAATAGACTATAAAGAATGTCATGATCGAAAGAATTTTTTAGGACAAGGTACCACGACATTGTTATGGACCAAAATGTGACAAAGCCGCCCGCTTTGGCTCAAAATATTGTTCAGATGAATGTGGCCAAAATCTGGCTAGAAAACGAATTGCACTATTGTTACCTAAGCGTGTACAAGAACACTATGAACAGTCCCCAATGTGGAAGGTCGAAACAGACGAAAAGGTGGCGATATTAATGAAGGAACAAGACAATATCAATGAAAGGATGAAGATAATGACGGATTGTGCTCAGAACTTGGAGCTTTACTTTGCGGTAGGCGTGATTTATTTATGTCTTTGGAGTGGGCTTGAAGTTTTTTTGGAAGAGGGACAACTTTCTGAAAAAAAATCAAGAACAAGCGGGGGGGGGGTAAATGTTTGATTATATTTTTTGGGGATGGATTTTTTTTAAAATTTAGAGGAGTGTTTAAAATTTTGGATGGAGGTTTTTTATTTTTTGGTGGTAGGAGAATATGGGGGGGGGGGGGGGTTTTGGGTGGGTCACTGTTTTCTTTTAAACTTTTAGGGGGTGAATTAAGGTAAAATACGTAGTATCTTCCTTTCAAATGAATATTTTTATACTCAACAACAAATGGGAAGAACTTTCTTTTTGTAAAGGTTTTTTTAACAAAACGGAAAAAATTTTCTTTACAAACTCAAAAACGGCAAGTACTTTCTTTACAAAACAAAAAATGGCAAGAAATTTCTTTACAAACTCAAAATTTCAATTTTGCACTGTGTAAAGAAAATTCTTGCATACCTTTATTTTCTAAATATAATATGTTATTCATTGTATAGCTTGTCGCCCGCAGCCAGCAACAACTAATATTTTTCGAAAAATTTTTATTTTTTTAAAATTTACTTTTAAAAATTATCGTTTTGGCTCTTTAAATCCTTTTTAAATAAAAAAATGAAAAAAAATTGAAATCGTTTCAGACCCTAGCCACAGGCCAACCAGTTCACCAACGTCAACAACAACAAGACGAAGACCCCTCATTCGTCCACAATTGTATGGTCTGTGGGGTCGAGTTGCCAGTACGATCACTGCCAAAACATGTGCAACGTTGTTTCGTCCGAATCGAAAAACAGTCGAGCTTCGGGACGGGTCACAAGTTCGGCATCAACCCCCATAACATAATGTGCGAGAAGTTTGACAAAAACACAAAAACTTATTGCAAAAGGCTGAGGGTGATATGCTCGGAGCATTATAAGGACGACATTGGGTCTGGTTTTAAGGTAAGAGGGTTTTAACTTGCAATTTGGAAAAAGAAACTTGAAAAATTGGTAATGATGGCAGTAATGATAGTTTAAGGCGTTTTAGGCTTAAGTTTAGAGGTTTAGTTTATTTTAGACTTAAAAATGAAGAACTTAATGTTTTAGGCTTAAGTTTGGGAATTATGCTTGAGTTAGGATTATATATAAAAAATGTTGATTAATATATATTTAGCAAAGACTTTCTTTACAAACTAAAAAAAATATCTTTTACAGGGTGCGCGCAATGTTCTGTTACACGGTTTTTTAATCAAATATTTATTTTAACAACAAATATAACTAAAACAACAACTAATAATAGTAACATATAGTACTAGTTATAACATAGTCAAGCGGTTTCCCTTTGCCACTACGCAGAGGCGTAAACGCTTCACAAAGTTTTCAGCGATGGGCCGCAGGTCCTGCGGCGAAAGTTTGTCCCACTCTTCGATCAATGCTTGTTTCAAAGACTCCAAAGTTTGGTGTCTTCTACAACACACCCTTGCCTCCAATATCGACCAAATACTGTAATCCATCGGGTTGAGATCGGGGGAGTACGGAGGCCATTCAGCTGAGGTGATAAAGTCCGGAAAATGGGCCCGACACCACTCCTGTGTTGTTTTGGCTTTATGGGCTGGAGCAGAGTCCTGTTGAAACGTCCATTTGGTGTTCTTGAAGTGTTCTCGGGACCAAGGGAGTACCACAGCTTCCAAAATGTCCCTTTGGTACACTTCTTTGTTGATTTTCACACCTTCATCGACAAAAATCAAAGAAATCTTGCCTGAAGCACAGATACTGGCCCAAACCATAATGCCCCGAGGGTGTTGACGACCTGCCACGATAGATTGAGCTTTAGGAGGCTCTGTTGAGTAATATTTGTCATTTTGGGGATTGTAGGCCTCTGTAAAATGTAAATATCCTCTCATCTGTGAAAAGGATTCGTTCACATTTTTGACCAGCGGCCCGCTGCTGAAGCAGTTTACATCTTTTGAAACGTACCGCCTTGTTTTCTTCAGTTAGCTTCTGAACTTTTTTGAGTTTGTACGGCTTCATCTTAATTTTCTTTTCCACTATGCGCCTCAAAGTAGGTTCTTTGATTCCCGCCTCCCGGGCCATTTTTTGTACTGGGGTCCGTGGATTTCGCTTGAAGCGCTTCATGATCATCTGACGACTGGCCACGGTCTTAACAGATTCTGGACGACCACTTCTAGGTCTGTCACAGTCATGTCTAAGCTCTTCGAAACGTTTTACGGCTCTGTGGACTGTCATTCTTGAAATATTCAACAATTTAGCGATTTTGGGGTTACTTTTTCCTTCATTATGTAATTTGATGACGGCAGCCCTCATGTGTGACATCTAAAAACAGACAGACAATAGACAATGAAGACTTAACTTTTATGATTATACAATTAGAAAAACACGGAGAATAAGACAAAATAAACAATTTTAAATAATTTAACCGCAACATTGAGAAAACGACCGGTAAAGTTTTGTAACAGAACATTGCGCGCACCCTGTACTCTATCTCACCTATCCTACTTTCCTCTACATTACCCTGCCTTGTCTTCAGGGTCGGGCGGAAACTTTTGGTCTGGGGGCGGGGTCGAAAAAATCGGCACAGATAGTATACTCTACTTTATTCTGTCTTACCCTACTCTAATTTACCTTCTCTTGCCCTACCGTACTCTATCTCGCTTTACTCTACTTTACCTTACCCTACCTTACCCTACCCTACTTTATACTACAGTATTCTGGCTTGCCCAATTTTGCTCTGCTTTGCCCTTTCCTACTCTGCCTTATTCTAACTTACATTACCCTATCCTACATTACTCTTCCCGACCTGATCAACCCTGCCTGGCCCTAACTTGCCCTGTCTTGGCCCTAACCTACTTTACCCTTTGATACCCTACCCTGCTATTAGCCTTAACAAAAAATTTCTGCATTTCGCCACTTTTTTTAATTTTTTTTCTTGTTTTATGAATGTTTTTAATTTTGATTTTCAGATCTGTGGGTACCCACTAGCCTGGACTAGGTTCAAAGCCTTTCCATTGGAAGAAATGTTCCTCAAAATGGACCTACTAGAAGATGGAATGTGCATGACGGAAAGGAAAAACTGTGAAGCACATTACATGTGGGAACAGGTATGGGAAAACAATATTTTTGTTGTCAAAAAGGCTAATTTTGTTACCTAAACTATTACTTTTAAACTGAAAACATCAATTTGTTACCTAAAACACTATTGTTTGTCTAAAATTTTAACTTTGTTACTTAAAATTACATTTTTGTATTAGAAAATATTGGTTTTGTTACCTAAAATAATGAAATGATTTTATTTGGCTAAAAAACCAGTTTTGATACCTAAAATACTGTTTATTTGCTCTAAAACTATAATTTTGTTACCTAAAATTACATTTTTTAATCATAAAATATTGAATTTCTTACCTAAACTACTATTTTTTTGCCCTAAAACTCTAATTTTGATACCTAAAATACCAAAAAATCATCAAACGCATCCATTTCCAGGCAGCCGCGGCCGTGATCGAGAACCAACGCCTTCAGATGTTGATAAGAATCGACGAGATTCAGGACGCCTATCGAAAACTGGCAGAATCGAACGCCGTCCAAAGGAATGCCATTACTTTATTGATGAACTCAACCACCAAACATACGGACATTCATGAAGGCATACAGGAGAAAGTTGGACCACCAAAGCCTGTTCATGTCTACAAAGATGAGAATCAGGAGATGATCGTGGATGTTGAGGATGACATTGAGGGGGAATTGAAGGGCCTTAGGGTATAAGGGGAAAGTATGACAAAATATGACTTTTTTAGCGGGTGTAAAGGTTGGAAATGACATTTTTTTTTAGATTTAACGGTAAAAAATGACATTTTTGTTTGCTTTGTTACCCTAAAGTCTATTTTGTACTATGCTAGGGTTTCAAAAAGTCTTGTCGCCAATTTACATTGATTTTAATGTTAAAAAACGACAAGTCTTTTTAAAGCCTAATAATGTCCCACAAAGTAAAAAATGACATTATTGTATGATTTGTTACCTAAAATGGTCTATTATTGTATTTTTGAAGCTTTGTGATGTCATGTTAGGGGTCAAAAAAGTCTTGTCGTCAGTTTACATTGATTTTAACGCTAAAAAACGACAAAACTTTTTAAAGCCCAAATAGTGACATAAAAGGACAATTTTGTTTATAGACAGTGCTGGGCAGGGTAATTTTTGTCAGGGTATGTCAAAAATTTAAAAAAAATTAAACAGGGGGGACTAAGTTCAACTTTTGAAATTTTTTTACTCCCTCATGCAAAAATTGTCGTGCCCAAAATGAACATGACCCTACTGTTGAAATTTATTGTTATATTATACCTGATACTTTAGTACAAGCTTGAATATGGGTGTTTGTTAACCTTTCTTTCGTTTTACATCAATTTTTGAAATCAAGTCTAAACCAATTAATTTATTCATATAAATAGTATATACCATACATACAATATACTAATATTATTATGTTGATTATAAATAGAATAAATATTATTATGACATTGTTGTGTGTTGGATTTTTATTTGGAATTGTCAATTATCCATGCTTATTTTTTTTAATTACAGAACTGGAGGGGGGATTCGGTTTCAAAAAAGTTAAAAATTTCCTCCTCCCCCATTTTTTTTAAAGAATCAAACTTTCTTCCCCAAATCAAAATTACCCCGCCTCCACCCCTGGCGCAGCCTAGGGCATATTAGAAATTTTTATATTCTCTCCCTCTTTCCCGTGTCAAAAATTATCCCCTTCCCCCTTTGTACTACTCGGACGGACATTCTAAATTTTTTACCATGCCCTGTTTAGAAAATTAGGCATGTTTTGGAATGTAAACCATGCCTATCCCTACTGAATACTCTGCTTCTTTACTCTTTCTAACTAGTTCCTTTACCCTACCATACTCTCTAACTGAAAATCTATTTTTCTACCCCCACCAGCCAATTCCCTTACTCTACGCCTATTCCCTATTGAAACCTCAATTTCTCTACCTCCTCTTATAAATTCCATTACCCTACCCCAATTCTCTGACTGAAAATTTATTTCTCTACCCTCTCCAACCAATTCCATGAGCCTACCTCTACTTTCTAACTTAAAACTCTGTTTCTCTACCCCCTCCTCCCAATACCAACAAGTTCTGCCCATTCTCTTTTCCGAAAAATCGCGCCCTGCCAGCCCTCTAAAGCCGGGGAAATCTTTTTCGAATGACCTCAAAATGCCTCCGCCAAGAGCCAGGCTTAATCCAGCGAGCTGACCAACAAGGTGCGTCCTTCTTCAACACGAGGTGGTTGGCGGCTTTTTTGAAATGGTGCGCTGCTCAATTTTAAAAAGGCTTGTCTCTTGAGCTTTAGGGATGTTTTTGACTGTCTTTTTCTTTGTCGTCTTGTTGTAGGGATAGTGTAGTTTTCTTTGTTTTTTTCTTGGGTTATATGTTAAGTTTCTTCTTGGTTTACCTTGTTATACGGATCATTCTAGGCCTTTTATTAAGCCTAACATCTTAATTTAAATTTCTTTTTATTTTTCTTTAAAAATACAGTAGTTTTTGTATTTTTTCGCTTATAATAGCCTTTACATGGTCTTTTTAGTCTTATACAAGCCATAAAACTATCTTTTTAGTCTTACACAAGCTCTTATATGGTCTTTTTTGTCTTATACAAACCTAAAAACAGCCTTTTTTATTCTTATAAGATCCCTAAGATACTCTTTTTTGCCTTCTACAAGCCTCTAAAATAGTATTTTAGGCCTTTATAAAGCCTATACTCTCCTTTAATACACCTCTTTCTTTACTTATTATGTTAGTACACAAGCTTTATGTTGTGTTATACACTCCTTAAACAAGACTTTTATTCTCTAACTTACGCGTATTAAGAAGCCTTTTTCCTCTATACCTACATGCTTTTAAATACTCTTTTCTCTATTTACCGTCCCTTAAGGTTTTTTTTCTTCATCTAGCCATGCTTTCTCTCTTCAGATGGTCACCTCTTTCTTTAGCTCTGGCCGTTCACTCTCTCTTTAGCTCTACCCAATCCCCTTCTGTGACTCCACCCTATCCTTTTCTCTACCCATCCCCTCTCTCTACCCCTACAAAGCCCTTTATCTCACCCCGACCCATGCCTTTCTTCACATGTGGCCATACAGTTAGCCTATCCTTCTCTTCCCACACCCTCTTCCTGTCCTCCTCTTTCTCTTATATCACTCTTCTCTCCCTACTCCTACCTCTTCCTCTAAGTCTACCCATACCCCTCCCATTTCTCTAATACTACCATCCCTTCTCTTTCTACCCTTACTCTACCTCCTCCCCTACCCTTATCCACCCCCCTTCCTTTCAACACCATAGCGATTCGCGAGCCCTCTCCTTCCTCCACACTCTCTCTCCAACGCCGCATCCCGAAGCCAAAGCAGTGTGCACCACCCGAAAAGTGTTCGCAATGGAACGCACTCTGCACCCGCCACTCCGCATCGTGCACCGCAGCGCCGCACCCACCCCCGCCGGTTGTGCATTCCGCGGATTTTTGCGCGATTTTCTTTTTTTACCCCTGCCGCAAAACAAGGTTTTTTTTGGAAAACAAGCAGGGATTTTCGAAAACAATGCTGGGATTTTTGGGTATGAATCGTTGGGCAGGGTAAATGCTCATATTGCCAGGGCCCGGGGCTCGTTTCCCTTTTCATCGGTGTTCGTTTTCGCCCGTTTCCTCGTTTTTGTTGCTTGAAATGTTGTTTTTCGCAGTTTTTGGGGGTGTTTTTGGCTTGGGAGGGGTGTTTTTGAGTTCAGAGGGGTGTTTTAGGTTTGTAAAGGTATAGCTTAAAAGATATTTGGAGTTAGGCTTAAAAGCTGTATATTATAGGCTTTAAAATTGTAAAATACAGGCTTAAAAGCGAGTTTGTTTGTGCTTATTTCTAGCTAGAATTGTAATTTTTATGCATTGCATGGGTATGGCTGTAGCTATGGGTTTGAAAAAAAAATTTTCAAACCCCCCTCCCAAATTCACTACCCCTGCTCTTCACCCCACTCTAGTTCATTTTTTAATTACCCCGCCCTTCATCTCAACCCAAATATTGTTTTTCAATCCCCTTGCTTATCATCCCAACCCAGCTCATTTTTTCCTTCAATTGGCCTTCACCCCGCCATCAACCCATTTTTTCCATCACACTGCCTTAAATACTTTTTTTCAATCCCGCCCTTCACTCGCTTTTCACCCCTACCTCCCCTCTCTCATCCCCCATTTCCCATCCTCCCCTTCCCAACCAAGTCCCGTGCCCTGAATGCCATGGAAAATTATTTACCACCTCATGGCCGCCAAGATAACCCCAGAATTAACGCCTGTTTTCGGCCAAATGACGCCGTATTTTGAAAGAATTTCCCAGAATTGGGCCCCAAAATCGAACTTTCAACTAGCTATGGCTTTAAAACAAGCCTTTTTGTTGTTTTTGAGCTCGCAGCGTGGACTCAAAATCAGTGTTAATCTATAAGTTTAACATTGATTTTGAAATTTATTTGAAATTATGTCTTTTGTTGTTAGGCTTATCAGTAGGTAGTGTTAGCTGTTGATATGGTTGTTTTTTGTATTGTTTTAGGTAGTCAGATTCATTATCTATACAATATTGAATATCATTTGTCTTGTAAAAAAAGTTCTTGCTATTTTTTGTTTTGTAAAGAAAGTTCTTGCCATTTCTTGTTTTGTAAAGAAAGTTCTTGTCATTTCTTGTTTTGTAAAGAAAGTTCTTGCCATTTTTCGTTTTGTAAAGAAAGTTCTTGCCATTTCTTCTTTTATAAAGAAAGTTCTTGCCATTTCTTGTTTTGTAAAGAAAGTTCTTGCATTTTTAAAAAAATTCCAAAATTTTTTAATAAAACGGCGCCCTTTAAGCCACCACCAAAACTTTATCTAAAATATCACATTTTCACCCCGCCCGCGCCCATTGTTACTTTCACAAACTTTTGCGACGTGTGCTTGCCCCCTCACCCTACTGTCCATCGCATGTTGACAAAAAAGAGTCGGGAGAATTTCGGTGTTCGAAATGTTTTTTGGGGGTCGAAAAAAGGTCTTCGCCTTATTTTTCCGGCTTTTTGTTTACGAAACTCGCGAAATTTCGAAGGAATCGCTGGACGCAATCGAACCTCATGGATTCTGTGGAAATCTCGGATGTTATTCAGAGGCTTTAACATCTTATGACGGTAATTTTAGTCTTTGTTCTTTGCGAAATTTAGGTTTAAATACACGTCCCGAGGATAATTTCTCAAAAACCTTGCGAAAAACAGTCGTTCAGCTGCCAAAACTTATTAAAACACCCTCAAAACCTTTCCTTAACACCTATAGAAACCCCACATTATCTAGTACAATATCATATCCAACTTTTAAACCATATATCCAACAGTAGATCTCCGTATCTTAAGCACAACAACAAGAATACACTTGCCCATCCACATAAAAGATTGGTAAGTGTATTCTTGACGTCGTATGTTTCGAAATCAAAACAATTTTTTAGTGTATTTTGCAGCTGTAGCATTGCTCAATGTTTATTCAACCTTTATGAAATGCATTTACACGTGTTTTCAAAGTTTCGAGCCGTGAAAGTGGTCCGATATTAACCATGATGGGTTGATGTCGGGAATTGGTTTTTAACAAAAATTATTGAGTTTTTGGCTAATTAATATAATTCCATTAGCTAGTTGTTCCAAATATTTATACACAAGTCGAAAAAGTTATATTGTTTAATGCTTTTTAATGTTAAAACCTGCTGATATTATCCATGGCGTTTTGGTGTCGAAAAATAAGTTTTTCAAAAATTTCTCGCTTCCTATCAGAATACCAGGTAGTTTACCATAAAAACGAAATTTAGACCTAACCCGCAGTCCACAAATAACCATCTAAACCTAGCCTCCGAAAGCTTTTTCCCAATTTTTGGCAAAAATCCCGAAAAATGCCGAGGCGCAGCCCGCGCATTCGCATTCAGCAGGCTGCAGATTGAATAATTTAGATTTTGGACCAAAAAATAGAATCTTTTCAGCTTCTCTAGCTTGTGTTATATTTCCAAGACTTGTTTTACTGGTTTGAGTCATCAAAGAGTATCTTGTTTTTTGTTTTATTTCTTCTCTGATTCGTTTTTCTATTAGCACGCAACAAATACTTGTCCATCTTGGAATCTTGGCATGTTTTCCAAATTTAACTAACTTTAACTAATATCAATCTTTATAGTACATGTTAAAAATATTATTGGGACATTGATTATGCTTTTTGGATTATTTGGGATTGACTAAAGAACATTAAACTAAGGGTTTTGTATATAGTTCCGGATGTTTCATGGATAATATAATTTTTTGCTATATTTCTCGTGTTTGGCTGTAATACGACTTTTTATTGGTTTTATCTTTTTCATTTTTTATTTTTAGATAATTATACAGAAAGTGACACAAAATGGAAGAAGAAGATGTGAAGGATAAGTCTTTGACAAAGATCGAAGAGTTTGATCCTGGTAAGTCAATTTATTTTATTGTTTTTAATGTAAAATACGTTGCGTCACAATAGGTGTTTTTTAATTTATGATGTTATACATCATTTTATACCTATAGATTTAAAATAATATCTAACATAATATCGAAAGGCTTTGCTTTGATAAAAAAAATATTATGGGTTACAATTTTTGTTTTGGTTGTAAAATACTACATTTCTTTGCTTTCACCATCAAGTATTCAGCATATTATACATGTTATAAATGTTTCACTTAAAACAATATGTAATTTTTTAAAACAAGGCACAAAAAGGGAAAACTACATATTGAAAGATACCTAATGATGTCCTTTATCTTTTCAGAAGATCGATTTAAACCAGAAGGCACGGTGTTTTTGGATATAGACAAATTCAGCGAGTTCGCTCGAGGAATTCCGACCGAAAACCCGCAACGCCTGTCCGAACCGGTGTATATTCGTGGAATGCCATGGAAGATCTTGGCGATTCCTCGTGATCAATCTCGTAGTCCAAACCGAGGTGCCGGTAAATGTCTTGGTTTCTTTTTACAATGTAATGGCGAGGTAACGGACGGAGAGAACTGGTCATGTTCAGCATCGGCGTTGCTTCGTATAGTGCCCCAAAAAGAGGGGATCGAGGCGAATACTCGCAGAATTTCACACACATTTCATCCAAAAGAGAACGATTGGGGGTATTCACAGTTTGTGCAATGTGATCAGTTATTGGACGAAGCTGGCGGGTATATTAAGAATGATCTGGTGAGATTGGAGGTGGATGTTTCGGCTGATGCTCCACATGGCGTGCAGTAAGTTTTTTGAGGTTTTTGTTGGATTTTAGGTATAAAGTTGAACTCGAAGAGAAATAAATAATGTTTGGGCAGATTTGTTTTGGTGTTATGAAGCAAAACCTAATTTTGGCTGTTTCAGCTGGGACAGTAAACGTCATGCCGGCTACATTGGCCTAAGGAATCAAGGCGCCACCTGCTACATGAACTCAATCCTTCAAACCTTATTCTTCACAAATAAACTAAGAAAAGCCGTGTACATGATGCCAACAGACGAAGACGATCCAGAATCTTCAGTAGCGTTGGCTATGCAACGTGTCTTCTACGAGCTACAGTTCAGTGATACTCCAGTTGGTACGCGCAAGCTCACGAAGTCGTTTGGCTGGGATGCGGTCGATTCCTTCCTTCAGCATGATGTCCAAGAACTGTGTCGGGTATTGTTGGACAATTTGGAGTCGAAAATGTCAAATACTAATGTAGAAGGCACGATTCCAAAGCTGTTCAAAGGCAAAATGAAGAGTTATGTTAGATGTATTGATGTTTCGTTTGAGAGTGCGAGAGAAGAGTTCTTCTACGATGTACAGTTGAATGTAAAAGGGAAAGCGAACAGTAAGTTATTCTGATTTTGTGCTTTCGAAGTTTAGGAAAGGTTGGTTTTGTCAAGGAATTAAAAATATTGTTTTACCTGGGCGTTTGTAGGATAATATGAGTTTTGGCTTATATCTGTAAGGTTTGATGGTTAAAATAAAAATATGTTTATCATGGGTAAAACAAGAAGCTTTAGCTTCATTTAAAGCATATTACTTTTGAAAAATATTAAGCTTTGCGAATGATACATCAACTTATATTATGATACCCTGATCTGGGTAGGATAATATAAGTTTTAGTTGATAACTACAAAATGAGGTCTTTCTGGTTAAGATAAGCAAAAATAAAACAAATTAAATGGTTTTACCGTTAATTTAAACATTCCCATCTATAGGATTAAGCTTTTTTAAAAAGGATACATCGCTTTTATATTGTACTACCTAATTTAACTTGATATCTTGAAAATTTGATGCTTTGAGTAAATGAAAGTATATGTAAAGTAAAATACGTGGTTTTGATGATTGCTAAGAAAAATAGTAGTTGTGAGTTCAAATTATTTGAACCAATACATCAGTTTATATTGTTATATCCAGCTATAGCTAAAATAATATTTTTCAAGATCTTTGATCATATAACGTAAAATGGGTTAATATTTAGTTAAACCTTGCTATTTCCTTTTATATTTTAAAATAAAAGATAAAATTAAGAATGTCACTGTTTTCAGTAATCGAAAGTTTCCGCGACTACACGGAATCCGAAGTGTTAGAAGGCGATAACATGTACGATGCGGGTGAATTGGGAATGCAAAAGGCCGAGAAGGGTGTTAAGTTTGCGGCTTTTCCACCGGTTCTTCATCTACAGCTGATGAGATTCCAGTACGATCCACAACAAGACGCAAACGTCAAGGTTAACGATAGGTAAGGGATTTTTTGTTTTATTGGTTTTTAGGTAACATTTAGAAGATAGACGGCTGAATTAATGTTTGAAAGGTGGTACAGAGAGTGCTTTTAGTATATTTGATAAAGGGATGGATAAAAATTAAAGTTTCATATTTGTAAATTAAGGTTTTCGATGTTGTAGTAGGTATAAAGGTGAAATTTTCTGGTTTTTTGCCGATTTTTGGGTTGAAATGACACTTTTTTGATAATAGGTATAGATTTTGCTATCCTTAACATGATATTGTCATTTTTTTCAGATTTGAATTCCCAGAAATTCTCCAACTCAACGAGTTCATCGACGACGGCGGCGAGCAAGACGACTACACCTACCTATTACAATGTGTTCTAGTTCATGCGGGCGACTTCCACGGTGGCCACTACGTCGTCTACATCAACACCAACCTCCGATCTCAACAACCACGATGGTGCAAGTTCGACGACGATGTTGTGGCCAGATGCCCGATCCGCGAAGCCGTCCAAAACAACTTTGGCGGCGACGACCAAGAGACCGGCCGATCCTGCTCAAACGCCTACATGTTGGTTTACGTCCAGAAGAACAAGCTGGATGATGTAATGTGCTCCGTAGCGGAGGTTGATATCCCATCTCATCTAAAACAACGTCTGGAGAATGAGAAGGAGGAGGAGATGGTGAGGAGAAGGGAAAGAGAACATGCCACACTCTTCACGGATGTCATTTTGGTCTCGGACGAGCATTTGACTGATCATATTGGCTTCGATGTGGGAGATTATGATGCGATCAAGGTAGGGAACAAGGGTTTTTTGAGTTTAAAATGGGGGTTTGAAGCTGGAGAAAAAATTTGTCATAATGACGGATTTTATGGAATTTATAACATTTTTGAAATTTTAGGTTATTTTGAGAAAACAATGGTGTTTGGAAGTTCTAAAAATGATATTTTAGCTAAAAAATAAAATACGTCATCATGACGCATTTTTGGAATTTTGTAAATTTTTAAAATTTAGGCTTATATTTGTAAAAAAAGATATTCTGAAGCATAAAAAATTATTTTTGGAAAGCAAAAACATATGTCAGCATGACAAATTTTTTAGAATTTAAACTTAAAACTTTTTTACAAATTATGTTATCATTGCCGTTTCAGTCTGGCCGAATGGGTTCGCCAATACGAGTGGCCAAGTCGTCAACGGCCCGAGACTTTTACAAGAAAGTGTCAGCCCTGATAAACGTTCCAATCGAATCGTTCCGCCTGTGGCGCTACGACATGGTGTACGTCTCCAAAGAGGATGGCTACAACAATATCCTCGAGTCACGACGACCCCGCTACTATATCCAATGTCCGCCTGAGAACGCCCCACAACAAACCTCCATTTTCTACGACCCCAAGCACGACAATGTCTACTACATTGAGCTCGGTTCGAATCAAATCGATCCGGAGAAGATGTGCGTGGTCAAGTCCCAACTCCAGCCCTACAACAACGATCAGATGATCATCGCCTTCCTCAAGTTCTACAATCACAACCGACGAAAGATCTCCTACCATGGCAGCTTCTTAATGGACATGGATCGACCGGTCACCAACTACCTCGACTTGATCCGACAAAAACTACACTTGGCTCCGGCGACTGAGTTGAATTTGTACTTGGTAGGGTTTTACATTGATTTTTTGTTGTTTTTTAGGTAATAAGTGAGGTGGAGGATGTAGTTTTTGAAAATTAGGTAACAAAAGTTATCAGAAAGGCCGTCTTGAAAGTTTAGGTAACAAATGTAATAGAAAACGCGGTTTTTCGAATGTTTAGATAACAAAAGTTATCAGAAAGGCCTTTTTTAAAAAACTTAGGTAACGATATTGATAGAAACGGCTGTTTTTTAGATTTCCAGGTAAGAATTAGTTTAGAAAAGTCCTTTTTTTTTGGTAATTTAGGTAACAGTTAAAATAAAAAAAGATGTTTTTGGTAGTTTAGACATCAGTTAAGGTTAAAAAATGCATTTTTTTTTGGTATTTTAGGTAACAAATTATGGGAACTGGCTTTCTTTTGATAATTTAGGTAATAAAACAAGTGGAAATACGTTTTTATTGTTTTGTAAAGAAAGTTTTTGCCATATTTTGGTTTGTAAAGAAAATTCTTACCATTTTATGTTTTGTAATGAAAGTTCTTGCCGTATTTTGCTCTGCAAAGAAAATTTTTGCCAATAACTTTCCAACTTTCATTTTTTCCCAATTCCAGGAAGTCTCACCCGACCACCTGTATCAAGTCCACCCGAACGAACAAGTCCCAATCCGCTCGGATCGTCACCTCATCACTGATGGCATCATCTTCATCGCTGAAGAAGTGGCGGCCGTCGACGAAACCAACAACCTGCCCAAGGCCTTCCAACAAATGTACGGCCGAATGCAGATCGAGGCCGTCTGTAACGCCGACTTCTTCGCCACGAACCTGAACCAGAACCCGGACGTGATCTACATCACCATCCAGACGGACGCCTCCCTGGACGAGTTCTGCGAACTCTTGGGCGCCAAACTCGAGTACGACCCCAAGAAGATTGTCCTCTGGCGATCCACCATCCCCGCCGAGCGGCCCGGCCCCATCGTCGGCCAAGAGGAGTTCCTACGCTACACGATGCAGGACATTGTAGGCCTCAATGGCAACGTCATCCACGACCCACGCAGCACTCGACCCTACACCGTCTACTACTCCAAAATACCCATCAATGCCTCCAAGCTAGACGAACATAAACATGTTAGAGTAGGCATCCTGGACCAGAAACTCCAGAACAAAGAATACTCGGTCTTCCCACCAAAAGACGGGACTGTAGCCGATATTCTGGAGTGCGCGAAAGAGTACGTGGAGTTCGCACCGAATGGAAGTGGTCAGCTGAGATTGGTCCATGTCACGAATACTCCTTCACAAAGCCGGGTTTATCAGGTGAGTCGGTGGAAAGAAAGTTGTTGCGGTTTTTGAATTTTGAGAATTTAAAATTTTTGAGTCTGGAACCAAAGTTCTTGCGGTTTTTAAAATTTAAATTTTTTTGAGGGTTTGTAAAGAAAGTTATTACGGTTTTGTTTAAGACTGCACCGTGCGAAAGCTAAATCGCTGCACCGTGCAACGAATAAAAAGAACTGCACAGTGCGAAAAAATTAAAATGGAAATAAATTTATTGCGGCTTATGAAATTTTTATAATTTTTAAATTTTTCGGGTTTGGAAAGAAAGTTTTTGCCGATTTTTCTTTGGAAAAATGGTTTTCATTCTGTAAAGAAAGTTCTCTGTGCAGTCAATAAAATAGGCTGCACAGTGCAGCTGCAAAGAAGGGCTGCACAGTGCAATCATAAAAAATGAAAAAATGCATTTTAAAGAAAAAATGACAATTTTAATTTTAGGTAGTACCAAACGAGACGCCAATCGCCCAACTGACCCAGAAAACGATGTGCCACACCCTGGCCTCACACGCCTCACCCTCCAACCTGAGGGTGGAAGAGGTGCCGGTGGACCAAGTTCAGCTGAATCCAAACGAAGCTTTACTAGCAGTGGGGCATTTCGAAAAAGAACCGACGAAAATGTTTGGCACACCGTTCTTCATCAAAATCGTGGACGGCGAACCGTTCCGCGAAGTCAAAAAGCGGGTACGACAGGCGCTGGAGGTCAGCGATCGCGACTTTGAAAAGGTAAATTTTTGTTTTGGTTTTGTTTTTTATAGTCTTGAAGGCTATTCAAAGTCTAGTTAGTAGGTTAGATTTGATGTTTGATGATTGTTTATAGCCGGAGGGTGGATTTTTTGTCAAATTAATTTTTTAAAAAATTTTTGAAAATTTTTAAAATGAGGTTTGGTTTTAAAATAAAGAAAACTCATTTTCGGGTACACTAAAAATAGAATTAATACCTAAAATTATTGATTTTTAGTTTAAAAAATGAAAAGTTTCGAAATGGACTGCACGGTGCAGTCAAGGTTTTAAAAATTCATTTTTTAAAAGTGTATGATGTAAAAATTACATTTTTTGTGATTTATTTTGTAAACAGTTGAGTTTTACATTTAGAAAATGCATTTTATTACCTAAAACTTTTTTTCAATCAATAGTTTGAAGGCTATTGAAAAACTGGCTGCACGGTGCAATAAAATTTGAAAAAAATTTATTTTTTTTCGATTTTAAGATTTAAAAAGAATGTTTGGTTTTAAAGTAACGAAAAGTCATTTTTGAGTGTAGGAAAAATAGAATTAATACCTAAGATCTTGGGTTTTATTTTAAAAAATACGAAAAAGTTTGAAATGGATTGCACAGTGCAGTCGAAATTCGGGGAACTGCACAGACAGTGCAACAAAGTTTTTGCGACTTTTAGGTAATCTTTGATAGTAAACTTGGATTTATATGGAATTTTAATGTTCTAGAGTAGTTAAAAAGTCATTTTCCTTATTTTAATCACATCTTTAATTTTTTTAAATTTGAAATTTTAAGATTTTTTGACCTATAGCTAGCTATATTGATATTCCGATATTTTCAGTTCAAGTTCCTAATGGTGGCCGGAAATCGAATAACCAAAGAGCTGGACCAAGACGAAACGCCGCTCCACACGAACGACGTCAAAGGACCAGGTGCGTTTTTGAAATTTTAATATTCACGCCATTTTGTTCAAAGAACGACTAACCCATTTAAAAGTGCAAACGCTTTCAGACCTGGTCGTAATACCCTACCTTGGAATCGACCACGCCAACAAGTCGCGGCCGGCACGGTCGATTCACGCCGAAAAAGCGATCGTAATCCACAATTAGACTACCGTACTAGAAGGCTTCGTTTCTTGGTACTGGATGATCGATTTTGGGTACTAGAGGTACTAGAAGTTCGATGGTACTAGTTAGTATTGTAAGTATTAGTACTCGGCTACCGTACCATTTTCTGTTCTACTACTATTCTTCGTACTATATAGTGATAGTACTAAAACTTTGCGTACTATAGAGTACTGGTACTATGTAGTAATAGCACTAAACGTTTCTGTACTATATAGCACAGGTACTATAAGCATTGTTCTTTGGGCACCAGATTACTGTATCATAAGCACCTTTGTCTGGTACCTGCTTACTGTACCATCTGGCTACTAGTCTACAGTACCCTTCTCAGTACGAGCCAGTGGCACCGTATACTAGTGCTATACCTATATTGTACCCCTCTCTGTACCAAACCACTAGTACTAGAAACACCATTTTTGAAAACCGTCCCTCCTGTTCCATTTTTTGTCTCCCCCTCCCTTCTCCTTGTTAAAGACGCCTACTATAATATATATTTAAGTATGTATGTTCATGTTTGTTATCAGATTCAACCTTTATTACTACACCTTTGGATTTTTACTTTTTTTGATGATTAAACATTTTGTCAACTTTCGATTGGCGGGTTTTTTGCGAAAGAATTAACGGATTTTAGTTTTGAAACGAAAAATTTGGTTTTTAGGTAACATTTTAGGAATTTTAAAAAAATATTTTATATTTTCAAAGTGTAAAACAAAAAAAACAGTTTTGCAAAAGAATTAATGGATTCTGAAAACTTGCCTTGAGAATTGCTCAAAAATTTTTGAACAAAATCAAAATTTTTTAAAATCCGATACTATACAGTACGAAACATGAAAAATCAAGACCAATCAGAACATTTTAACATTTTTTATCTTGTATACAAAATATGGCAACTAGCGCTTAAGCTAATGTTGTAATCAACAATGAACACCCGTTATGGAACAGTCAAGACATTGTAAACAAAGTTGTTGCATGAGATTTGAAAAAATGCGTTTTTTTACAATAATTGACCGTGGTTACAGTAATTCGTTTGGAAAAATATTTTTTTTTATTTTTAGTAGGTTAAAGTTTGAATTTTGAAGTTTTGCACGATGCAGTCATTATTAAAAGATTGCACTGTGCAGTCAATAAAAAAGCGGTTTGCACGGTGCAACCAATAAATAGAGACTGCACTGTGCAGCTAAATAAAACGCTTTTGCACCGTGCAATGATCCAAAAACATGCTTTTTCCAATAAAAACCAAAAAATATATTACACTAGCCTCCAAAACACATCAAAATCCTACTGTAACAAAAACTACGAACTATATTTTTACCAACCTCTTACTGTAACTTTCTTGAATAATCAAAAAGAGAGGTATTACTGTAGCCTTGAAGGTAAACAGTTTACAATTATAAAATTAGACTTGAAACAAAAAAAAAAACAATTTTGGGGGGGGGGAATCACCGGAAGTTTAGGCAATAAAAATGCAAAGAAAAGACAAAAATGAATTTGCAAAAATTTTAAAATTTGGAAATTTTCGAAAAATGAGATCAAATGAGGAGAGGAAATGGGCAAAACGTACCATATGTACCAACTTTAAGTTCTCCGTACCATTAGTACCAACTTAAAGTTTTCAGTACCAGTGGAACCAACTTTAAGTTTTCTGTACTATTTCTACCAATTCGGTACCAATAGTACCATCAATTTCGGTACCATTAGTACCATCAATTTCGGTACCATTAGTACCATATTTATAACTACCAAATGGTTCTGTTTAGATGCCCTTAAGGAATAAAATACGATTCAAATTTTAAATTTCAAAATAGTACAAATGGTACTAAAACTGGCACATTTGGTACTGCAATCTAAAATTAGTACCATTTGCCAAACAGACACTAACATAACATTAAAAATAAAAAACTTATGCAAAATCGACAATATAACAATGGCTTGGCCATGAGACAAAATTTAAAAAAAAATTTTTAAATTCAAAAAATAGGTAAAAAGAGACAAAAAATGGTACCAACTGGACCATTTTGTAATCTGCTATTATTAGACGAACAACAAAATAATATCTCTAGCTTAGGTGGTACTAAACGACCATTTCCAGTACAAATATGGTGTTTTCCTGGTCAGAAAAAGCATTTGATGTTATCCATGGTATGTTACCCGTAGTAAAAGATGACATTACATTATCCATGGTCGAAACCAAGTAAACTCTTATGTTAACCATGACAAAATTAAACTCCTTTGACCAAAACTAGAGCTCTTAGTACAGCTTTCGGCCTTTGGAGCCGCCAACCTTGTTTTGTTCTCGGCCGATTTCATTGGCTAGCTTTTGGCGTGTCAGCTCGGTTTGATGGTACACTTCTCGTTGTTTTGCCAGTTCTTGTTGGGTTTGGTGAACTAAAATTGTAAAACTTGTTATCAAAAATCACTTTTCCTACTTTAACTTTCACGAGAACTTCAATTTTTAAAAACCACCCCCAAAATTTTTTTTCAAAAATTACCCCGCCCAAAATTTTTTAAAATCAGCCCTTTCTATACACTTTTGTGTATACACCCTCACCCAAAAAACCCTTAAAACCACTTTTTAGACTCCAAAACGGCCCAAAAACTATTTTTTAAGCTGCACCGTGCAAAATTAATTATCCTTGCACCGTGCAAAATCCAAAATTTCAAAAAAAAATTCAAAATCCCAAAAAATCAAAAACCCACTCAATCCGTCAATTTCGGGTGTGGTTTCGATCGAAAAACTAGCCAATCCAGCCTTGATCTTCTCCTTCTCCACCAAATCCGCCATTCCCATCACCTTATTCTTCAGGATTTCCAACTCACGGTCGTTTTTCCTTCGTTCCTCATCGTATGCACTATTGCCATGATCTTTCTTTGGGTCAGGCTTCATCAGGTTGTTGAGTTCCAAAAGTTTCTGGACCTCTGCATCGGTTTGTTCTTTTGATTTGAGCTTTGAATCGGATTCTGAGGGTTTTTGAGCCGTTTCTGGGCTACGCTGGGTGTTGAAGACGTCCAGACCGATGGAGTTCATCACATCCGACATTGTTGGGACTTCGAATACTCGTTTCACGTCCTGAAAATTATAGGAAACATTAATTTAGGCATCAAAAAAACATCAAATACAAAAAATTGAGAAAACAAAAGTTTGAAAAACAGTCGATATCTCGGTCGATTTTAGACGAATCTCTTTCAAACGTTTTGTCACTTTAAACAAGGCCATTATTTATCACAAAAGTAAATTTAAAACAAATTCTATCGCTTTCCCAGTAGTTACATCAAGTTATGTTCACCCACCCAAAATTTCTTTAAAAAATCAAAGAAATTTTCAAAAACCAGTCGATATCTTTGACACTTTTCATTGTACCTCTATCAAACTTTCAGACATCATAACCCATGCTTTATTAATAATTATTAATATATACACCAACTTTCATACAAATCCAACAGTATTGCCACCAGTTACATCAAGTTTTGTCGAGAACCCCAAAAATTTTTAAAAAATCAAAGAAATTTTCAAAAACCAGTCGATACCTTTGCCAATTTTAATCGTACCTCTTTCAAGACTTCCCACATCATAACCCATACTATGACCAATATCTACACCAACCTTCATACAAATCCGACTACATTCCCTCCATTTACATCAATTTCCCTTCACCTACCCTAAAAGCCGGATCGATCGGCAAATCATGATTCGCTTGACCTTCCCTGATCTCCTTCACCAAGTCCTCTTGCTTCCTCTTCTCCACCGCATGCTTCTGAGCTACTCTCGACATTCCCGACACATCTTGTTGTGGTCTAGCTCTCCTCTCCTTGCCCAGGTGCTCTTTCTTCGCGACATAATCCAAGATATCTGACCTCAGCTGAGGCGGTAGGGTATTGATTGGTGTTCGACTGAAGACCGGTGCTGCTGATCCACAATCCTCACATGGCTGAGCTTGGACTGGGATGTCGTAGACTTGACGTTGTTGATCTTCCAGTGTTACCATGGTTCTGGCGGTTTCTGTGACTCGTTCCAGCGCAAGTTCCGCTCTCACATTCGATGGTTGAGCTTGGGATTGGGTGGTGAACTGAACTGTGAAGTGAGGGAAAGTTGATGATGAGTTAGGTGGGGCATCTCCTGGGTCACGAGGGGTGGCTGTGCGATCAGTTGATGGGGTTAAACTGAAACTTTAGGTATAAAAAACGGTCAAAATTAGATTTTTAGGTAATAAAACGACAAAAAATTTACATATTAAGCATAAATCAATTTTTCAGTGGCAAAATGCCAAAAATTGAAATTTTATGTAACAATCTCCCTAAAAAATGCAACTTTTAAAAACACCCCCCTAATTTTTTTTTCAAAAAATTACCCCGCCCAGAATTTTTTTTAATTACCCCTGCCCTTACAAAAAAATTTAAAAAACACCAAATCTCCAAAAAATGTTTTTTCAAAAACGACCCCCCCCCCTCAAAAAAATCAAAAACCCCTACCTAGTATTAAGAGTATCCATCTGCATCACAGTTTGTGCATTACTAGTCCCACTGAAGTTCCACGCACTTTGACCGCCAATCTGAGTGGCGGGTGGGTGTGGCGGAGTTGGAGCGGGAGTGGTTTGCAACGATGTCAGTAGCTGATTCAGAAGACGGCCTTCGAACTCGGCTTGGACCGCTTGAGCGATATCGTGGCCGTACTGTTGTTCGATCAGTACCAGGCTCATTCGTACCTGATCAGCGTTGGCCATGCGGAGGTTGTTGAGGAGGGGTAAAAGTTGGGTTGAATTTTGGGCTGGGGTGGATAAATTTGAATTGACGTTGGTTGGGGTGGATCGGTTCGAAGTTTGATGAGCTAGGGTGGCTAAGCTGGCCAAGGTGCTCAGATTGCTTTGAGACGTTGCTGAGTTGGTCAAGTTGCTTTGAGAAGTTGCTGAGTTGAACAGGTTGCTCAAGCTTTGTTGGCCTGACCGGCTGTTCTTGTCGGCCGTTCTGTTCGCATTTTGGCTAGTTTGAGGCGGAAAAGCCGTTGAACTTTGGCCAAAAATCGAAGTAGAATTGTGGGCAGAAGGCATGACAACATTCTGTGTTGCAAAACTTGTCATATTTTGTCCATTTTGTCCGGGCAAAGCCACATTTTGTCCAGAAATCGGCACATTTTGACCATTTAAAGCGCCCATATCTTGACCAGAGCTCAAGAACTTATTCATTTGTTCCATCAAAGCTCCAGAGTTAGCTGTGCCTTGGCTTTGACTAGTCATTCCTTGAATTCCACCCATTCCCTGACCCAATCCAGCCAAGCCCAGTCCAGCGAAGAGTTGTTGTTGCCTTGTCGGAAGCTGACTAGCCAGTTGTGCCATTTCGAGTTGTTGTCTTCTTTGTGCGGCCAAGTGGGCAATGGTTAGATGAGTTTGTTGTAGTAGGCTGGAGATGCCGTTGGCTGAAGGTTGGGCTAGTTTTTGGAATTCTAGCTGCTGTTCCAAGTCTTTTCTTCTCGTCTGGGCTAGTACTAGGGCTTGTTGGTACACTTGGACAAATTCTGGATGTAGCAGGCCGGCTGTGTTTTGAGGGGTGGTGCCTGAGGCGAATTGGAGCTGAAGCTGATTGGCTACGAGTTGATGACGCAGTAGCTCGGTCTGAATTTGAAGTTCTTGCTTCTTGACCTCCTCGAGTTGTTGAGTTATATTGGCAATGGTTTCTGAACTTCTTGTCGCTTGGAATTCCGGATTTTGCACGGTGTAAGCTTCTAAATTCTGACCAGCTTCTGTGCCTCTCATTCTGTAGCCATCGGATTCTGATGTCCTAGCGTTCTGTGAAGTTTGGTACGATGAGAAGCTTGAATCTTGTTTTAGACTTCCACTTTTCGCTCCTTGTCCCAAGCTGGTACTGGTAACGGCTTTGAAGCTATTTTTCGGATATCGACCGGTCGATTCGTATTCGGACCTCAAATTCTGGCTTTGACTAGGCGATTCGTATTCGGACCTCAAGTTTTGTGCTCCAATTGGTAGTCCGGTCAAGTTTAGGTTTCCCGCCAAATTCAAATTTGAATTTCCAGCCAAATTTAAACCATTTGCTGTCAATTTCAAGCCTCTACCAGTGTCAACGTTGGTCGACAGGATGCTGGTCCTTTGTGCGTTTGGTGCAATTAGTCCCAGATTCACTAGCATTTGTTGTACGTCTCGACCGGTAATTTGTGAATCTTCATCCTTCTTCCGCGAATTCTTCGGGGTCTGAATCGGATCGACCGGTAAATGATTCTGCTCAATCTCGAACTGCCGCATCACCTCCGGGCCCAGGATATCGTCTTGGTTCGAGTTTAGGCCGAAGAAGGTGGAGCCGGTTGTGACGGTAGAGTCGCGTGACATATGTGAAGGTAGAGGTGGAGTGGGTGACTTGATGTTCATGTCGAGGTGAAGTGGTACCATGAGGTCGCGTTTCGTGGCCTCAAATAGCTCACGAGCTTTAGCTTGACGTCGGGCTTCAGCTTCTTGAAGTTTGGCTTCGGATTCTGGGTGTTTGAAGGTTGATGACGATAAATTAAGAGCTTCGGACGCTGATTTTTCGGATTCTGATGCCAATTTTTGGGCTTCTGATTCCTTCAAAGCGTCTGACTGTAGCTTCGATGCTTCCAAAAGTGTTTTGAAGCCTTGTGAAGTTGACCTCAGCTCTTCTGCCATTACTTTTTGACCTTTTTCGGTCGATCTTAGCCCTGTTTCTGTAGCCTTCAAGCCCTTCTCATTATCTTTTAAAGCCATTTTCATCGTCGGTTCAGTAGCCTCAACATTAAAACTGCTTGTCGACGGTACATTCTTCTGTGCGGATTCTGAATAACCTTGACTTCTGACTGAGATCGGTCGTTCCGTGCCAGTTTGCCAGGTTAAAGACATTCTGGAGAGCGAATCCGTTCGTACCATCATCGGCGTTTTTTGGCTTCTCAGCTTTGAATCCTGCTTCATGGCTTCCGAATCCGATCTGGCGATGGCTGAATCTCCTCTGAAGCCCTTGGCGTCGCTTCTGACAAAAGATTCACTTGTCGCTGAGCCTCCTCGCATCGTGGAGCTTTGTGAAGTCATGGAGAAGGTCGATGAATCCATTGGGTCTTCGATTTGTGAATCCTGCTCGGATGTAGCCGTTGTGTCCAGATAGTTGAAAGAGGATTCTGACTGTGGAGTTGGTGAGAACTGAGGTGGTGGGATTTCGCTTGGTGCTTGGCTCCTGAAGCTAGATTCTGGAGAGGTTTTGGTACTTTCATAGCCAGCTTTAGTGCTGCTGGTACTGTCGTATCCAAGTTTATGGCTGGTACCGTCAAACTTCAGAGTGGATGCTGAAGGACCTGATGTGGCTTCAAATTGATTTCTGGAGCCAGAAGCTCCATCATATTGACCTCTTAACCCAGAAGCTCCATCGTACTGACTTCTAGCTCCAGAAGGTGCATCATACTGAATTCTAGAGCCACTACCTTCAAATCCAGCCTTTGATCCAGAAGCCGAACCACTATCTAGGCCGATTTGATGTGCTACAGAGTTGATCGTGTCATTCAGCGCTGATAACGGATCCTTTTCTTCCGACGAACCAGAATCCGCGTTATATTGTGATAGCTCGATGATGGCTGATTCGTCTTTATGTGAAGGCCTTGAACTTCTGAATCGGGTAGATTCTGATGACATGGATTCTGAGGATTCTTGGCTTTGAATCTTTGATCTTTCTGATGTGCTTTTAGGCTGATTCTTGGCGGTTTCAGCTTGATTCTTAGCATTTTCAGGTACATTTTGACCTTTTTCTGAAGCATTTCTCGATTTATCGTGACCACTTCTGGATTCTGAATCCTTTTTCTCTCGTTTACGGTCAGATTCATCCGAAGTTTCTGTTTCTCTTCGTTCTCTGTGTTCTTTTTCTCGTTTTTCTTCTGATAATTTTCGTTTTTCAGCTCTTCGTCGTTCTTTTTCATCATCTTTTCTAGCTTTATCATCACCTTTTCTGCCTTTATCATCATCTTTTCTGCCTTTATCATCATCCTTTCGCCTTTCTTCATGTCTCTTCTTCTTTTCATGCTCCTTCTCTTGCCTTCTCTCCTTCTTTTCCATCTTTTCTTTGTGCTTCTTGTCCTTGCTGGGGCTCTTTTCTTTGTCTGTTATTGAAGCTCTTTCCTTATCAGAAGCTTTTCCACTTTCTGACGCTGAAGTTCTTTCCCTATCAGTAGCCTTTTCTTTATCAGAAGCCTTTTCTCTCTCGGACACTGCCTTTTGAGAACGATCTTTGGCTGGACTGTAGCGACTTTTAGTTGGGGATATACTTCTTGGGGTCTTTTCTTTAGCCAAGCTATATGACGTTCTTGCCTTCTCTTCTTTCCTTCTTTCTTTATCATCTTTTTGCTTTTCCTTATCATCTTTGTTCTTTTCCTTCTCATCCTTGCTCTTTTCCTTATCATCTTTGGCTTTTTCTTTATCATCCCTAGCTTTTTCTCTTTCCTCTTTGCCCTTTAGTTGTTTTTGATCCTTATCTTCATCTTTTTCATCTTTACCCTTCTTTTCTGTCTTCTGTGCTTGTTTTTTGTCTAATTTCTTATCATCTTTGGCCTTTTGAGATGATCTTTCTTCAAACTTCTCCGTGCTTTGTTGCTTCTGAAGACGTTTTTCGTTTTTCTTTTCATCGTGAGCTTTCTTTTCTTCATTATGTGACTTCTTTTCTTCATTCTGAGCCTTTTTCTCTTCATTATGTCCCTTTTTATCTTCATCTTGACCTTTCTTATCATCATTATGCCCCTTCTTATCATCATAAGCACCCTTTTCATGGCTAGATTCAGCACGATGTCTGCTGGTCTTCTCTTTTTCGCCGCTTTCTTGCTTCTGAAGTCGATCGTGCTTCTCGTGAGTGTTTCTTCTTTCCCTGGCTTCTGGGCCTGAGGCTTCTTTTCTGGATTCTGTTTTGTCATCTCTTCGACCACCTTCCTTATCATCTCTTTTACCAGCTTCTTTCTCATCTTTTCCCTTTGAATCCTTGGCTTCTGGTCGTTCTTTCAGCGTGTTTCTTCGTTCTCTGGCTTCTGTTTTGTCTTCTTTTTGTTTTCTTTCTTTCTCCGCTTCTTCTTTTGATTGTTTCTTTTCTTTTTCGGTCGTTTTATCAGCTGATTTTGCCAGATCCTTCGATTTATCAGTCGTTTTCATCAATTCCTTAGATTTATCAACCACTTTTTGGCTTTCTTTTGCCTTTTCGACCGCTCTAACTGCTTCTTTTGTCTTATCGGTCGATTTTGGTGAATCTTTGCTCTTCTTGGTCGATTTATTCTTTCCACGATGAGCTTCACTCTCTGATATGATCATGTTCGCGGCGGCAAGTTCATGATTTGGAATGTCATCGAAGGCGTCCTTCTCCACCTTCTCTGGCTTTACATCTGGAATTCCGTAGCCTTCGTCTTCGTACAGGAAGGCTCTTAGCTCCGGCCTCAAGGCTTCGTGATTTATCGCCTGAGGAGTGATTTTCTTCTTGTTCTTGGCATGCATATTCACATCCTCTTCGTCTGAGCTCTCTAGATACCTGGCATTGTAGGCGTTCTCGGTCAGTCTTCGGTTGGCGTAGAACTCGTGCACGGCTTCCAGTACATCCAATGGGAAGTCGTAGTTGGTTCTCAGTGCCAGCATGGACTGTTTTCTTGTTTCTGGGGTCACCTTCAGCCGGTCCAGCGTTACCCACTCGTCGTAGCGAACGTTCCAGCCGTTGTAGTGGACAAAGACCATGGTGATTCGGCCCAGCTCTTCCAGGGCTTCAACGTGCAATGGATCGGTGATCTTCAGATTCGTCTTCTGACCTTCTAAGGCTTCTAGCTTCGATGGTGAATCTGATTCAGGATCTTGCTTCTGAGGCGACGATAAGGTCGATTTTTGATCTTTGACGGTCGCTTTTGGTTCTTTGAGCATAGATAACTTGTCTCTGCCATTCTTTTTGTCATCACTCGACCCTTCTTGACTACCGTGACTATCTTTTGTGCTTGTAGAAGCTTCAAAATCTTTGGAATCCTCCTTTTTCAAAACAGCTCCATGCTTGGCTTCTTGGCCACTTTTTTGATCTTTTGAGCCTTGACCTGCCTTAAGCTTCTCGTCCTTCACCCCCTGGCCTGATTTCGTCTTGTCATCCTTAACATTCTGTCCTTTATCCCCATCTCCTTCACCTTCTTTGATTTGAGCCACGATTTTGGTCAAAACCCTAAGGATAACATCGGTTGGTACACGGCGAGCATCCACAACTCGTGCCGAATAGAACCGTGAGTAATGTGCTGCTCGGACGTGCCGTGTTTCGACCAGTTGAGAAAAGATGTCGGCGGGGACGTGACCATCTTCTTCATCTAGATCCGTTGGTGGAGGTATTCTTGTGCCGGAATGGCTAGTTTTCTTGTCTAGCTTCTCTGGTTTTTGCAGCTTTTTTCCAGATTTATCGACCGATGGCGTTTGGGACTTTGTGGAAGAGAGCTTTTTGCTTGGAGAGGTTGAGATTGTGGACCTTGAGGTTGAGGAGACAGATGAGGTTCGTTGCTTCTGAAATTATCAAAAAATAAGATTTTTTTAGGTAACGAAAATTATTTTTAAATTATAACTCTCATTTTATATTGTCTTTTACCACTAATTTCAAAAAACGTTAATGTTTTCTTTCTCTTATATCCCCAAAACTTTTTTTAAAATATTTTACCCCGCCCAAATTTTACTTTACTTTTAGCACAAAAAACTCAATTTTACTCAATCCCCGTTGCTTAAACCTTTATCTAATCCACCCCAAATTAAAAAATTTTTTTACCCCGCCCAACTTTTTTAACACAAAAAACCGCATTTTTAAGCGCTCCCTGACCTCTAAAGCTTCAAAAAGTAAATTTTTATCTGATCCACCCCCAAAATAAAAAAAAATTTTTACCACGCCCAAATTTTTTTTCCAAAGAAAATCATTTTACTGTCCAAGCTATTCACAAATTTTCAAAAAAAATCATTTTTTTACCCCTTCCACGCCCCTAAAACTCTTTAAAAATCTCATTTTTACCCCTTTCAGACCCTAAAAATTCTTTAAAAACTTATTTTTTACCACTCCCAGACGCTTAAAATTCTTTAATATGCCATTTTTTTCTTCGCAGACCCCTAAAACCTTTAACAAAACTAATATTCCCCTACCTTTTCCTTCTCTCCCGTCCACACCGGGTCCTTTTTGTACTTCAATGTTGTCTCAAATCCCTCTAGGTACTTAATGTACTGTTCTCTGAGCTGTTCCCCACTGATCACTCCTTTGATGCCCATTACTTCGGTGAAGCCAGTCCAGGCCGCCTTGTTCATCTCTTTTACACCGCCCTTCTTCCTGACCAATCGGAACAGTTGGAATAGGTCCAGCGTGTCGCCTGAGGCTAGAATGGGTGCTGTCGTTAAAGTTTTGTCGTTTTTCTCGAAAAACTTTTCCAATTTGGTATAGAACTGTTCCCGCTGTTCCTTCTTCTTCTCTGCCATTTCTTTTTGACCCGCTTTGTCGGTGTCTTTGGGTGTTTTGAGTGGGGGCGTGTCTTTTTCCTTGGAATCTTTGGTTGATTTTTGAGATTCCTTGAAGCTGCCAATCGACTGGTCGGAAAGTTTTCGCTTTCGGACCGCTTTTCGGGATTTGCTCATTGGGCCGAAGATCCACTCCTCGGACCAGTCCTCCGGCAATTGGCCCATTTTCGCGTATTTCATGGCCAGCTCGTAGCTTCGTTTGAGTTTGGCACCGAGTTCTTCTAGGGGGATGCGGTCGGCATCAAAGACTTCTAGTTGAGATTGGCGGAAGAGCTTACTAAAATAATGGAGAGTAAGGTAAAATACGTTGCAAAATTATAAAAAGCTTTATTTACAGATTAAAAAATGGCAAGAACTTTCTTTGCAAAACACAAAAAAATTTTTAAAAACGGTACCCATCGTATAACTTGTCACCCGCAGTCTGCACTACACAAAACATAAAGTATTTTGTTTTAAAATAGCAAAAAAATTCTTTACAAAACAAAAAATGGCAAATACTTTCTTTACAAAGCTTCAAATTGCAAAAACTTTCTTTCCAAAACCCGAAAATCCCTCCTTTCCTCAAACTTGTTACCTAAACATCAAAAACTCCTTCAAAAACAATACGAACTTACACTTTGCCATCAGGTAGTATTCGAACCGGGTATTCGTTGGGTTCTGGCGGCCTTGGATCCTCTTCGGCTTCGATGTAGGCTGATGGTGAGATGACAATGCCAAAGAAGGCGGCTGTCTTCTTTTCGAACTTCAATCGACCCATTATTAGTACTCCTTCAGCGAATTCGGTACTACTAGAGGGCTTGTGCTTTTTTTTCTCTTTTTTGATTTCGCGAGCGGGGGTGGATGAGTCTTCTGATTCACTGAAAGTTTTTAATTTTAAAATTTTTCATTTCATATTTTTTTTGTAAAATACGTTTAAACTATTTAAAAAACCTTAAACTGCAAGAAATTTCTTTACAAAATAACAGAATTAAAAAAGCTTCCTTTTCAACCCATAAGCAAGAACTCTTTACAAATCAAAAAATAGCAAGAACTTTCTTTATAAAAAACCAAAATGGCAAAAACTTTCTTTACAAAACAAAAAAATGTCATGTTCATACCTAAGCCCCTATTTTTCATATTTTTCCATCCCCTGAGCCAATTCAAAAATCCTTCCCTACCCCCATTGTCTATAAAATGCCATTTTTAACCTGTACTATGCAAAAAAACCCTACAAAACGTCCTTATTAAAACTTACTGTTTGCTACTCAATCCAAGATTCCTAGTCTTCTTCTTCGGTGTCCGCGTCGTGCTATCAGAATCCGACAGATCACTGTCATCCGACGAATCCCTTCCTTTCTTGACCCTCTTTCTCGGCACTGACAGTTGTTGAATCGACCGTTGTCTCTTCAGTTTCTTCTTTTTCGGTCGACTTAATGTTGAGCTTGTGTTGGTGTCATTGTCCGTTTCCGATGCGTCCGAAGTCGACCGGTCGGATTGGGTTTGTTGGCGGATTGAGGATTTGGGACTGTCTGCCATATCCGGATCCACCCCTTGGTAAATGGCTTTGAGTTGGCGGGTTATCGAGCGCGAGGTGCCTAGGAATAGGTCCATGTTGTCACTGAAAACAGTTTCTTCAATTTTTTAAATTTTAAAATTAAAAAAAAATTTAAAAAGTTTACAAAATGTGCCTTTAGGCTATTAAAAAGCGTCGCAAGTTCGAAAAATCGAAAAAATATAGGGTTTGATTAAAGATGCAAAAACTTTCTTTACAAAACATAAATTGGCCATAACTTTCTCTACAAAACATAAATTGGCAATAACTTTCTTTACAAAACATAAAATAGCAAGAACTTTCTTTACAAAACATAAATTGGCCATAACTTTCTCTACAAAACATAAATTGGCAATAACTTTCTTTACAAAACAAAAAATCGCAAGAACTTTCTTTACAAAAGCCAAAAACCAAATTTTAATACCTAAATAACCAGAAAATCCTACTGTCTTACTTAAAATATTAATGAAAAACAAGTTTTAATACCTAAACTTCAAAAATCAACCAAAAAATTCAATTTTCTTACTACAAATTAAAAACTGTTACCTAAAATCACAAAAAATTAAAATTTTAGTCCAAAATTTATTTATTTGTTACCTAAACTTTAGCTTTTTTAACTAGTAACCTTAGAACGCCTCAGACTGTTCCTTCCTACAATATTGACCTCCAACCACTTCAGTTTCATACCTAAACATCAACAAAAACAACCAAAAAACCTACGCCGAAGAGTTCCGATCCGGATTGTCCAATGGCAAGTTGTCCAGGTTGATCTGACTATCAAAGTGCTTCGCTCCCTTCAGTACCATCTGACTTCTCCTCAACGACTTCTCGTCTCCATCGTTGAAGACCACTCGATACCTACTCAGGTCCTTGACATGTTGAATTTGAGCTTCCATCAGTTTTCCGTCGAAATACACGACAACCGGCTCATTGACGGCGATTTTGCCACGCACCAGGCGTGGGGTTACCATGTACTCGACGAAAGGCTGGTCTTTTAGTATCACCTAGAAGGAGGTAATGCATTATAGTGGTTATAAGGTAAAAATTGGTCAAAAAGTGAGGTTTAGGTAAAAAAAACGTAATGAAAAAGTAATTTTTAGCCGGTATATGATCAAAAGTAACATTTTAGGTAACAAAATTTAGTAAAATCATATAAATGTAAAAAAAATTGAAATAGTATTTTAGGTAACAAAAATCAACAAAAATGTAATTTTATCAACCAAAAAGTAAATTTAGAGCAAGAACTTTTCAAAAACCTTATTTTAGATAACAAATATTCTTCTTTCGGCCATAAATCGGCCATTTTATACAAAATCGACAAATAAACCTTAAATTAGGTACCAAATTAGACAGCTTGATCTCTAAGACATCTAAAAACAAAAAAAAATTGAAATTTTATAAACTCACTCGAATTTCGACGGTTTCCGTCTCGATCTCCATTACTCGCGCTTCACAGAAGGCGCCTTTGAATTTGGCACTCACATCCGTGCCCAAATCAAGTAAATGAGGAAAATCGGATGGGCCAAGCTAAAATAAGGTTATATATAGATTTTTATTGTGGTAAAATACGTCTGAGAACATTTTTATAAAAAAAATTTTTGAAAAAAACAATAATTTATATCTAAAAAGCAGAAAAGTTTAAAATTGATACCTAAATAGTTGAAAATCAATTTACTTTACTTAAAAAATAATAAAAACTTTAAGTTGTTACCTAAAATTTAAAAAAAAACCTAATTTATCACCTAAAAAATAAAAATTTATGCTTGAACATCACAATTAAGCCTGAAACTCAAAATAAGGGCCTAAAACCCCAAGATCTTCTAAAATTCTTCAAATTCTTACATTCCTGCCCTTTTTGTCGGCGATCTTGACTGGTCGATCCATTGGCACGGGGCTAGCCTGCGCGCTGGTCGACGGAGTTTGTGGGGTCTTACCCATTACAATATAAGTAATCTTCGATTAAAACGAATGTTTGTTGATGAATTTAATGCTGAATAATTGGCATTTCCTGAAAGAGCAATAATCTTATTAATTTCTTCATTTTTGGCATTTTATATACGAAAAACAATCAGAAAATCCGCGTGGGACACGAAAAAACCGACTTTTCGCGCGAATTTAAAAATGGCTCGGAATAAAAGAGGGTTTCGACCGGTTGATAAACAAAAACAAGCAAAAACCTAAACAATAAATGTTGTAGAGATACTGGGCTTCATTTTAAGCACTACCTCAAATCAGTATGTTTAATAAATGGCAAAGAAATGAACGATATTGTTCATGACATCAATATTTTAGACCTACGAAAGTTCCATTCGTATTTTACAAAAAGTTGACTAAAAATTAAATGTAAAATTGTTATTAATAGATACTTTTCATTATAAAATCCCAAAATAATAATAAATCTAAGAAATAGTTTTAAAATTTTCATACGAATACGCTGATATTACCCATGTCACCCAATTTATGTACAATATACTCCAAACTCGCCCTTTACAAACATGTACTCAGCAAATTTGTATGCCATTACTATTAATATAGTCCCCGTCAATTAAAAGGGCAGCCTTCGTTCTCTGAGATGGTAACACCTAAACAAAAAATTTTTATCTATTATCGATAGACCGATGATTTTCATGCAAATTTTTAAAAAATCAAGAATTTTGCTTTTATTTTACGAGCTACAGAAATTATTCAAATTTTCTTTTTACTTATACTGTAATGTTTGGTTCAATTTCCCGATGGTGACTTCGTTTTTCAACAAGACAACTGTTCTGTTGATTGCGCAAACATCATTAAAGCCTATTTTAGTGATAAAATATTCAAATCTAAAATGTGGCAAGCGAAGAGTCCAGATTTGAATATCATTAAAAATTTTTTGGGCCCATATGAGCCTGGCCGTCTACCCGCCTGGCCAGTACATAAAAAAGCGTAGTTAATCAATGCCATCATGGACGCTATTAGGGATTTGTACAACTTGACTCCGGGTCGATTGGTGTCTGTTTTGGTCAAAAATAGCAATACTATATAATATATTTGTTTCGTATTTATAAAGCTTTCCTTTTAATTGCTGCTTTAAAAATTTGAATAATTTCTGTAGCTCGTAAAATAAAAGCAAAATTCTTGATTTTTTAAAAATTTGCATGAAAATCATCGGTCTATCGATAATAGATAAAAAATTTTTGTTTAGGTGTTACCATCTCAGAGAACGAAGGCTGCCCTTTTAATTGACGGGGACTATAGCTTCAAATAGTACCATTAGTACCATCTTAGAAAAAAATGTCAAAATTTGTTTTGTAAACTCGACCTGATATTATCCATGACGTCGAATCATTTTCCAAACAAATCAATAGTTTCCATCAATAAATTAGCATCTATGCCCACTACTATGTTCATAAGGTACCATTAGTACCCACTAAACCCAAATTTTAAAAAACTTTTTGTAAATTTGACTTGATATTATCCACGATAAATAACTAATATACCACGACCAATCTCGTATTTTACACTTAACAACGCAATAAATTTGTAGCCTATAACCAATGCCATGTTCATAAGGTACCATTAAAACCATCTGATACTGAAATTTCAGAAAGCTTTTGTATAAACAAGCTTATATTATCCATGACTAGTAACTAATACAAACAAAAAGTGTATCTCGTATTTTACAAGTAAGTAACGATTAAATTTGTATTCCATTACTATTACTAGGTTCAGAAGGTACTGGTAGTACTATGCTCCACTAAAATTTAATAAAAGATTTGTCACAACACGCTTACATTATCCGTGACATCAAAAATTTCCACAACGAGCTTAAAAGATCGTATTTTACAAAAACCCACACCCGAAATAAAAACCAATGTAACTAAAAGTATCAGAAGACATTACTAGTAACATCTAGAAACAAAACTTGCAAAAATGTTTTCCAAAACAAGCTTATATTGTGAATGACATCATAAACAGCATAGGATTTTATGTTAAAATTATATTTTTCTCGGCGGTGTTATAGCTTAATCTGGTCTTAAACGTACTAATCTCGTACTGAGAGCTTTGTAAACTCAAGATTTTGTTTTCTTTTTTAGGTTTTTCGGTCGAGTTTTAAAATTTAAAAATGTAGGTATTAGATTCCTGATTTTAGGTAAGAAATAGTACTTAGGTAATAAATAGATCAACTTTTGAATTTTTAGTTATTAATTAGTATAAAAATCAATTCTTTTCAAAATTTCAAGATTAAAAAGGACTTGTATAAGAAAAGGAACAAAAGCCTGTTTACAAACGGCAATGCTTTGTTGTAAACCCGAAGACTAGTAGTAATGATAACAGTGGGTCTCTTTTTTTGGGAAGTCATTATTAGTGAGAAAGATTTTTTTTAGTTTACAGCGAGAAAACGGCTAGAAATAAAGGAGAATTTAGTAGGTAATGAAAGCAAAATAAAATAATTTTAAAACTTCTTGAAAAAATGCAGAAACTTTGTTTACAGATCGAAAAACGGCGATAACTTTCTTTACAAACCAAAAATGGCAATAACTTTCTTTACAAAACGAAAAATAGCAAGAACTTTCTTTACAAAAGTCGAAATTTGGAAAAAGATTCTTCATCGTATAACTTATCCTCCGCAGCCTGCATAGAGCAAAGTTTTGAATATTTTCATAAAAACGGCAATAACTTTCTTTACAAGACAAAAAATGGCAAGAACTTTCTTTACAGTGCAAGAAATGGAAAAAAAATTCTTTACTTTTCAGAAAAACGCAAGAACTTTCTTTACAGATCATTCCTACCCAAACTTTCCTCAATTCCATAACTAGACCTTAAAAATTCTCAACCTCCGTCCCTCTTCCTCACCCTACCCAACGCTCCCCTTACCCAACTCTACCCTACCCTCTCCCTACCAAACCCTCACCCCCTCAACAGCAACAAAAAAGGGCTTGACCGTTTCGACGGGTCGAATTATGACGACAATTAGGTCTGGAGGTTAAACACATCCTTGAGATAGAGAACTTCTGAAAGGTGGTTGCGCGAAATCCGCTCCAAAAATCCGTTTTTCGCCCAAAAAAACGCGAAAAATTGGGAAATTGGTTGATGAAAAACACGTATTAATCGTGGTTCGAGTACATTAATTACTTCGTGGAATGTCACAATGACAAAAATTGTCATGGAATTTTGTTTACGAGTAGGAAATGGCAAAAACTTTCTTTACAAAACAAAAAATGGCAAGAAATTTGTTTAATAAACACAAAATGGCAAGAACTTTCTTTACAAAACAAAAAAATAGCAAGAACTTTCTTTACAAAATAAAAAACGACAAGAACTTTCTTTACAAGTCTAAAATAGCCTACTTTTCAATTTATCTGCACGGTGCAAAACATTTGTTCGATTGCACGGTGCAATCATTTTCTAAAATTTATTGTGCATTCTTTTTAAAGCAGCAAAAGTGAAAATTGTTTTAGTAGCTTTTTATGACATAAGACTAAATGTTTTGACAACATTTGCGATCTAAAATACGCCAAAAATTTTATAGAGCAAAAAAGAAAATTTGTTGCACGGTGCAAAGAAATTAAAATATTGCACGGTGCAATGGAAATTATTGCTATTAGTGTAAAAGTTAATTAGGAATGTAATTCTAAGATTATGAATAGCAAGAAGTTTATTTACAAAACAGAAAATGGCAATAACTTTCTTTACAAAACAAAAAATAGCAAGAACTTTCTTTACAAAATGAAAAATTGCAAGAACTTTCTTTACAAACCCATTTCTCCAACTTTCCAAATAAACTTACACTCCTACCACACCATAAAACCTGCCGCACCAATAAAACCCCCATTCCGAATCATAAGAAGTTTATATTCACCATTATCAGCCCAATAACTCTTTCCGAACACGGTCTCGAGACCCGCTTTTTTCTTCAAAAGTTTGTGCGCCTTAAGGCATTTAATGAAAAGGCTTTTTGATAAAATTGAGAAAAAAAACAATTAATTTCTTTTCCGTTACAATGCTTTTCTTACAATTCACGGTTACTGTAGGGTACGGTAAGGTGTTGTAGTAAAAATGGGAAATTAAGAGGACAATGGTAAGAACTTTCTTTACAAATTGAAAATGGCAAAAACTTTCTTTACAACGAAAAAATGGCAAGAACTTTCTTTACAGGAGTTATAATAGCAAGAACTTTCTTTACACAGTAAAAAATTGGCATTTTGAGTTTTGTAAAGAAAGTTTTCGCCATTTTGGGCCTTGTAAAGAAAGTTATCGTCATTTCTTGTTTTGTAAAGAAAGTTTTCGCCATTTTGGGCCTTGTAAAGAAAGTTATCGTCATTTCTTGTTTTGTAAAGAAAGTTCTTGCCATTTCCCAGCTTGTAAAGAAAGTTTTCACCGTTTTAATAATGAAAAACTAAGACCCAACCACAAAATTCAGTAAAACTGTATTCAAAAACCCTCCAAAATCCACAAAATTAATCACCAGTGATTAGCCGTCGCCAGAGTAAACCAAATCAAAATGCGACGTAAACAGCCCCCTCAAATCCCCGTGAAAATTCGGGATTCCGTCGAGAAATCCCGAAAATTGGTAAATTTATCTTTCCTCTAACCGGACGTCAAGACTTTCGACCGCATTTTCCTGGTTTTTATGGATTTCGGGGGATTTTTAAAATATTTTTGGAAATTTTAAAATTTTTTTGAAATTTAAATTTTATGGTTTATGTCACTATTTTAGGTAACATTTACAGTATAAGATTGCTAAAAAACCTAAATGTCATTTGAGAACATTTTCGTACCAAATTAAATGTTACTTTTATCAAATGTCTCTCAGATGAACTGCACAGTGCAACCAGTTCCCACTGCACCGTGCAAGCAATTTTTAAATGCGCTGAGCAAGCTAAACAACAAGTTTTAAAAATATTCTAAATGAGCCCATTTCAAAGGATAATATGTACATTCTAAAAGTAAATTGAAACTTTTAAAATTTTTTAAAATGACTGTCAAAACGAAATGATTATTATACATTGCACCGTGCAGACATAAGTTGTAAGTTAATAGTTACTTAAAAATGCTAAAACTGCACTCAAAATAGAGATATAGACTTTAATAACACACTTTTCGGTAAGGTTGACGTATTTTATCTAAATTTACCCCAAAATTGATTTTTTATCAAAAAATAAACCATATTGTAGTAGGTGTTCATAAAATGACCTAAACATAAAAACTGATACTTATACCAAGGTTAAATTTGTACTTAAAACAAAGAACAGGCACTAAACAACATCGAGAATACAAAGCCGTGCCGTATTTTACCCAAAATCAACCGAAAAAATCGATTTAACCCAAGCACCTGAGCTCCATCATGAACAACATCATTTTAGGTAATAAACTCGTTCCAAGCTAATATAAAAGAACCAAAATGACAGAAAAACTTTCATTATTTCATATCAAATCAAAAGTTATTGATAAACAACAATTGGGTTGAAGAATTTTCGAAAAATCACGTCTCAAGCACAAAAAACACCTACTACAATATCGAAAAGCCATCAAAACTTGTGGTTTTCGCCTTTCAGTCTTAGTTTTTTGCAAAGAACTATAAAAGAGTGATCCATAGTGTTATAATAAGGTTAGTCTAGATAAGTTTAGACCAAAATATTACCTAAAAAATAAACTTCCTCCTCCAAAAACCTCGAAAACCCAAAGTTTTAGCTCGAAACATTGGCTAAAAATAAATATTTCAGTCCCAAAACTAAAAAAACATGACCAAAGCCTGGCTTCGAATTGAAGAAACAATTTGAAACACAAAACCGTACAATTCGCCCTGAGGCGGGCGGGTGTTCACGTTGAACCACGTGGAAATAATTGAAAACACATAAGAAAATCGATAAAATCACAACGATTCTTGGCTGTAACACAATATAATTGGTGGTTTTGACTCTAAAAAGGCTTGAAAAAGCTTTAAAATGACATCAATAGTATGTTATAGAGCTATACAATCCGTTTTACCAATTTAAGTAAGATATACCTCAATATAATACCCAAATCCTCGCTTTTCCAGCCGAATATTATGTTTATGTTAATATACCAGCCATCGCACAAAATGTAAAATCCCGAAAACATGCCGTCGGGCCCCGCAAATGGTGGGGGGCTCGGAAAAAATGCCGAAAATACGAAAAATTTTCAATTTTCAAAGCCTCGAGGCCGCCGGCTTCGTTTTTTTCCAACACCCTGGGGCTCAAAAAATGGGAAAAAGGAGAAAAATCGGCTGTGGAGCCGAGAATTTTCAGCGCAAAACGGGGTGAAAATAATGGGAATGGTGGAAAATAGGGGGCGCTTGGGCTTGGGCGTCGCACGATTCCCGCCTTTGTTTCACTGACCCGGTTTTTCGCCGCTTCCCAGCCTATTTCCCGATATTTCAGGTCTGCACGCTCCGCTGTTCGCATGGTCTTTTCGCAAAGAGCGGTTAATTTGCTTCCTCCTCTTACGCTCTCTAGCCACACTCTTCTGGCCCGTAATCTCTCGTGAAACAGCCAGTGCGAATGAAGTCGGCCCGAGAGAGCCTGTGTCGGGAAGAGGGCGGCCATAGAGCGAAAAAAAGCGGGCTCAACAAAAAAAGAGCGCAGCAAGATAAGAGAGCGCGCAGACAGAAAACGCAAAAAACAAAAAGGAAAACGAAAGTAGAGAGAGTATATTATTTCCGGAGTGTGCACAGAGAAAGTCAGAGAAAAGCCCCCCTCTTTTTTTGAAGCGAGTGAGCGCGTATAAAAAGGGGTGTGGTTAGAGAAATATTCAAAACCAAATAATATCTAAATTCAATTTCCAGACTTATTATTTTTATGAAAACCTTTTTAATTTTTACAATCAGTTTTAACTTAAAAAAATTCAAAATGTCCAAAATTTGCCGTTTTCTCTGTTTCTCTCCTGAAAATCAATGTTATTTCGTCGTTTTGGGCCGCAGGTCTTTTTGCGCGCCAATTTTAAAATGGCATTTTGTTTTTCATGCCCTCTTCTTCATTCTTCTGTAGTTCACATCATTGAAAATGCTATCGGCCCTAAGGCAAAAATGCACTCCGCTCAATTTTTTGAAGAAAACTAGTGGAAAAGTAGTTAAAATAGTATGAAATCGTAGTCAAAACGGTTAAAAATGGGGCTGAAAGCTAATTTTTGACTATTTCAAAAGGCTTTAAGCCTAAAATTTTGAAGAATTTGCTTAAAATTGTAAAAAAAATAAGTTTTTAGGTCTAAAAATTCGTTTTAAAGAATTTTAAAGGCCCAAAAAGTGCATTTTAAAGCAAAAATCAACCCAGCCAGCTAAAAAAATGTCCCGCCAAATGTTTTTCCCTCTTTTCTTCGCATCGCTAACCTCATGAAGAAATATATTCGAATACGAAGGCTTTCTAACTCGAAAAAAAATTTGGCGCCATTTTTATGCAGCTGCCTATAATAGGGTACATTGTCTTGAAAAATGAGGTCTTTGGGCTTAAAATTGAAGAAAAGGACTCTTTTAGGCTTAAAATCGTTAAAAATTCCATTTTCAAGCCAAAAACTAAAAGAAATGCCACTTTTAATTAAACAACCCCGCTTATTACGTCTATTTTGTAATTTTCAAGCCATTTTTCAAATTCAAACTCAATAAAAACACAAACCGATCAAAAGTAGTTGGAATTTATTGTCAACGACAAAAATAAAATGTGATTTGTCAATGATAAGACACAAAACAATCGTCAATTAAGCACCGAGCGACAAACTTTTCGATTCATTTTGGGTAGAGAAGCAAGCGAGATCATTGTAAAACAGTCATTTTACAATTAAAAAACTGAGTTTATTAAACATGACAGAGTAAATTTAAGAACTGACAGAGTAAATTTTACAAACGACAAAGTAAATATAGAAAAAAAAACACATTTTCATGATTTTACAACAATACCCGTACTACTTATGACTAATTTAGGGGGGGAGGGGGTTGAGGAGAGGCAGGAGAGAGAAGAGGTGGGGGGGGGGAGGGTGGAGTATTGTACAGTTACAGTATTTTGACACAAATGATAGACAGCGTAAAACCACTACGACATTGTTTAAAACTTTGGGAAAAAATTACTGTTTTTGGTGTATGACAATTTTGGCACAGTTCCTTATTGCACAGTGCAGCCAAACAGAAAAGCGTTTGCACGGTGCAGTTTCACAAAATGTTTTGCACAGTGCAATTACGTAATAAGGCCTGCTGCGCAGTGCAGCCAAATAGAAAAGCGTTTGCACGGTGCAGTCCCATAAAGGGCTTTGCACAGTGCAATTGCGTAATAAAGCCTTCACTGTGCAGTCAAATAGAAACGCGTTTGCACAGTGCAAAGACTGTAATAAGGCAAATATATTTTTAAAAATCAATTAAAACAACCGAAGAAGTTAAAAATAAGTTAAAATATATTGTTTACAACAAAAAGTAAAGCTCAATATGTAAATCAAATTTATGAAAAGATAAAATATTTTAATATAAAATGGGTTTTTATAGACAAAAGACACATTCTTGACCAAAATTAGGCCGAAAAAAGAAAAATTTTCCATTTTCAATCATATGGATGCCATTTTTACTAGTCAACATCATTTTTTGGTTTTTGTTTCCGACCATTTTTAGCTAGTCTAATCGCATTTTCGATCGTTTTTAGCTAATCCAAACCGCATTTTCGACCATTCGAACTTCATTTTTGGCCAAAAAGCGCCATTTTAAGACAGTTAAAGACCATTTTAAGACAGTTTAAGGCCCATTTTAACCATATAAACGCCATTTTCAACCTCTTCTAACCTTCCCATGGCCATTTCCTATCCATCCCAATGTGGTTTCTTCCTCATCGAGCTACGCCGCGACGATTCCTGGGACGAGTTCGATGAGCTTTGACTAGAATCAGATGAGATCGAGCCTTCCATGTGACGTTTCATCGTGCTCTGAAGGTCTGGAGCCGAAGCCGAGGTCGAAATGAGGCCGGCACTGGTCGATGGGCAGTCCTGATATTGGTCTTGAAGTGAGGATGAGGAGCCTGGCAGAGGTTGTTGACATTGTTCTTGGACTTGGGCGTTGTTCAGTTTTTCCAGTCGATTTGAGGCTGTGTAGAGGAGATTGACCAGTTTGCCATCGTTGTCGAACTCTTCACCGTCTAGGGCTGCTGAAATTTGATAAATTGATTAAAATGGCAAGAACTTTCTTTACAAAACAAGAAATAACAAGAACTTTCTTTCCAAAGCAAAAAATGACAAAAACTTTCTTTATAAATCTCAAAACCGCAATAACTTTCTTTCCAACCCCTCAACTTACGCATAAACTTCAAGACAGGAGCACAAACTTCGCAGCTCTCTTTTCGACAAGTTAGCCAATGGTCGATAATCGATCTAGTCACATTACATTCGGGAAATTGGCATTCATCTCCACGGCACATTGCCACATGTATCAACGTTCTTTTCATGCGAGAACAGTGAGGAACGGCACACATTATATCTTTTCGTGGTTGTTCTATTTCCTAAAATACGGAAGTTGCACTTTTTTTTAAATTGTTTTAAAAATTTTTTTTTATTTTTTTTAAATACAAATTTTTTGATTTTTTTTTGATTTAAAATTTTTTTCAAAAACTGCTATTTTTCAACCAACCCCCCCTCCAACTTACCGCATCAATATCCGCGCACTTCTGAACATGTAGCATGACGATCAGTTCTCTCTGGATCCTCTCGGTTTGGCACACTGTCTCCATTGGTACCTCTTGACTGGTGCCATCCTCAACCACATTAGTGATTGACATGTGAGTAGTCGAGTAGTAATGTGTGGTATTTGGAGTTTGAACACAGGTTTCATTCCACTCCCCCCACCGCCTGAAGTAGGCTTGGGAGGCGTGAGACATGCCTGTGTATGAGATCGAGGTTTGTTCGATGGAGCAGTTGTTACCGGGGGATTGGACGAAGAAGGAGTGGGTTGATGACATTGTGTCGCGACGGCCTAGAAGTGACGTTTTTTAAATTTTGTAAAAAAAGTTCTTGTAGTTTTTAGATTTGTAAAGAAAGTTCTTGCAATTTTTCGTTTTGTAAAGCAAATTCTTGCAATTTTGTGCTTTGAACAAAACGTTATTGCCGTTTAAAGCCTTGTAAAGAAAGTTTCTACCATTTTTTGCCTTGTAAATAAAGTTTTTGCCATCTTTTGTATTGTAAAGAAAGTTCTTGCCATTTAAAGCCTTGTAAAGAAAGTTTTTGCTATTTAGCGTTGTAAAGAAAGTTCTTGCCATTTTATATTTGTAAAGAAAGTTCTTGCCATTTTTATACAGAAAAATTTGATTTGAAGGTTTTGCAGCCTGCGGGTGACAAGTTATACGATGAGTAACAAGTTTTGGTTTTTGAGGTTTTGTAAAGAAAGTTCTTGCCATTTTCTGTTTTGTAACGAAAGTTTTTGCCATTTTACGTTTTGTAAAGAAAGTTTTTGCAATATTAGCTTTTGTAAATAAAGTTTTTGCCATTTATCATTAAAAAAACAAATTTTTCGACCATTTTTCCAAAAAATCTCTCTTACCTTGAGGCTTTTGCTGCTTCAGCGGTGCACAGAATCCGCAATCATCCAGAATACAAGCTTCAAAATGTTGTAGAAGTACCCGTGAGGTCGCACAATTATCAAAAGTGCATTCCAATCCATCAGTGCATTGATTGTAGTGCATTATCACTACTTTCCATTGAGGGCAAATGGTAAGAGAACACATATTGTCCTGAAAAGAGGGGCAGTGGTACTAATAGTACTACACAATACGAATTTAAAGCTTTGTAAAGAAAGTTCTTGCCATTTTTTGTTTAGTAAAGAAAGTTCTTGCCATTTTACCCCTGTAAACAAAGTTCCTACCTGTTTTTGCTTGAGGCATTTGTTGGCATGTAAAATGGAAGCGAATTGTTTCCTGAGGCCTTGATTCCTTTGATGATCGTTTGGATTCTGGAAATAGGTCCGTAGCTCCAGGGTTTCCACCGGTGAAGCCATGACTTCGAGGTCGGAATCCTCTTCAGAATCCGGTACGGTCGATACTGAAGCTCTCCTGACGCTCAGTGAGGTATTGAAACAGTTGAAGGAGGGAGAAGATGTTCTTCTTGAATGTTTGTTACCTAAAATTTTAAATTTAAAAAAAATAGGTTTCTAAGCCTAGCCTAGTCTAAAATTTAAACTTTCGTCTCTTACCGTACCCTCTGTAACTCCGAACTGCCCTATCATGATGTACCGTACCTCACCCTACCCTACCCTACCCTACCCTACCCTACCCCTACCCTACCCTACTCTACCGTACCGTACCTTACCCTACCCTACCCTACCCTACCCTACCCTACCCTACCCTACCCTAACCTACCCTACCCTACCCTACCCTACCCTACCCTACCCTACCCTACCCTACCCTACCCTTCCCTACCCTACCCTACCCTACCGTACCCTACCCTACTCTACCCTACCCTACCCTACCCTACCCTACATTAATATGCCCTACTCTACTCTATCCCACCTTACCGTATCACATTCTACAGTATGCTTTCTGCCCCGCCTTATAAAAATTTAACCTCTAAGCTGCCCTCCCTATATCAAATTTACCCTTACTCTACTCCCGCCACACCCCTAGTCTTCTTCCATCCCCTCCCCAACCTAAAAAAAAACGTACATATAATTATTCCCACCCCCCCCACCCAAAAACCACCTTAAGCCAAACCCTACCTTCAATGTCCCGAGCACGGTGCCGTTCCTTTTCGTCGTTTGTTGCGGTAGCCGAGGAATCTGTAGCGTGGAGCCTCCTCTTCCTGGCCTGTCGTTGAGCCGAATCCCTTTTGTGTTTCGGCGGCAGATCGACCGGTCGGTTGGTGTTGCTGCATGCAGAACAGGGTTGTCGCTGTGCCCAAAATGCGTCGTTCAGGCCGAGACCAAAGGACGTTGAGAAATTGAAACCAATCGTATTTTGAAGGGGTGGGGACACGTTTTGGGACCACAGTTTTGCTGATATGACGTCCTGCAAATATTGATTATTGATTTTTTTTAATTTTGAAATTTAAAAAAAAAGTGACGTAACTCGCACGATGTAAAGATACAATGACACAAAATAGAAAATCTACCCTACCCTTCCCCTTAATTTACCATACATGTCCCCCCCCCGACTTTTTTTTCTATTCTACCGTATCCTTTCCTGCCGTAACTTAGGGTATATTAACCAGCCCTACCCTACTTTTTCTACTCTACCATGCCCTAAATCTCTGCTCTTTCCTTCCCTTATCGTACCCCTCCCCTTCCTACCCCCTGACCAGGGCGTTGCAGAAGCACCCCCCCCTTACCCAAAATTTTTTTTTCAAAAAATCCACAGAGGGACCACGTTCAAATATAAAAATTTTTAGGAGTTACACCCCCCCCAACCCTCTCGTCCAGTCCTGCCCACGACCAAAAAATACCCCGCCCACCACCCAAATTGCCCTATATTTATCGAAAAATGAAGCAAAATCAAAACACCAGCCCACTCCACCCATTAAAAAACCAAAAAGTAACTTCTTCACACCTCCCTAATTATTGTAAAATTATAAAATACAAATATTTTTACATAAATTAATACATGCCCATTTCGCAGTTTTACAGCCCCGCTTATAACAATATAAGCCGATTGTAGCATCGCAAAACGCTTTGGCAAATTAGGAATGTGCTTCTTTTGGCATTTTAGCATATCAATAGCTAAACTACACTTTAAAAAGTTTTGTCGTTTTTCTCCCTTAAAATCAATTTAAACTAACGACAAGACTTTTTTTAAGCCCTAAAACGACATAAAATCAAAAACTTTTTAAAAAACCATAACATTGAAAGATAAAACTATCTAATCGACAAACACATTACTAGAAATAAGCCATATATATATCAAAAATGGCATAAGCTCTTCCAGCCACAAGCACCTTTCATCGTATAAAATGTCCCCAGTAACCCATTTTGCGTAGAGTGCTTTGCAGAAAGCTCTGGACGCTCTTTTTTAACACTGTAGTAAACAAAAACACTCGGAACACACTAGAAAATAAACAATAACATTCGGAAATCGGTCTTGAGGTCTACTACAATATCGAAAGTTATGTTATACTAAGGGTTATGATATACCATAAGGTTTTTTGCTAGAAATATCTATTTTGATACGTTTTGTAATCTAATTTTGTCATAACACACGTTTTGTCATAACAAACGTTATAGGGTAAGATAAATTTTGTCATACCAGAGGTTATGACATACTACAATATAACTTGCTCTAAAGTGAAAATTGCAAAACAATATATGACTAAAATAACACCCTGTAATAAAAGCAGCTTATGCTCGTTTCCTGAAGCTTCCGTCATAAGGCTTGTCACTAAATTGGCCATAAAATAATGGCCAAAAAGTGAGATGGTGACCAAAAAGCCAAAATTTTTAGCTAAATTTAGGCATATAGGTAACAACACAAGCAAAAAATGACTAAAGCAAATATTGTAAAACATTGCCTTAGTTCTTTGCATGCCTTTTAAATTATATTTGTCTCAGTAAAAGTACAGTAACAGTATAAAAATGAACGAAAACTAGTAAATCAAGAAAATTTTCAAATTTTTCAAACAAATTTTAAATTCCTTACAAAAAATGTTTATCGACCAGTCGAAAAAACTCGTTTTATCAGTATTTTATACACCTCTACTAACTGCTCAAAGACAAATTTGGTTTTAAACCCTTAGAGAAAAACATGAAAATTATGGCATAAAGTTCGGCAGTACGGTGAAAATAGCCTAAATTTCAAAAAAATTGCAACAAAATGACTGATAATCGATATCAATCTACATGAATCATTGTCAGAATACTCTTACATGTAATGTTTATACTTACATATGATTAGACAGTCAATTACAATATTAAAAAAGTAAGAAATAAGTCCATAAAGCCTTGTGCTACACTGAAATTAATCGAAAACAGTGGAAAAAACCGCGAAAATTATCAATTTTTGTTCAAACAAAGCAAAAATAAAGAGTAAAATACTATTATACTAAGGTGAGACATATTTAACTACGTGATAATTACAGTTTTAATCACATTTTACCCAAAAAAAAACGACGAAAAAACGGCAAAAAATGAGCTATGAAACGCAAAAATCATAAACTTTCGGCCAGAAAAAGCAAAAATAAAAAGTAAAATACAATTACACTTAGTGTAAACATATTTAGCTACAAGATAATTACAGTTTCAATCACATTTTACCCAAAACACCCACAAAAAACGGCGAAAACTCCAAAAAACGTAAAAAAATCAATTTTCGGTCAAAAAAAGCAAAAATGAAAGGTAAAATACGAATAAATATAACTGGCTATTGTATAGCTACAAGACAATTACAGTTTCAATCACGTTTTACCCAAAAACCCACGAAAAACGGCGAAAAACCGCGAAAGCGAGCGATAAAAAGTGGCGGAAAAGTTTTGAGGAAATTTCTAGAAAAATTTTATTTTCCCCTATTATTGTTTGTAAACAGGCCTGAATCTTCGCGAATCTTGTGATTCCGGAATAATTTAAAGGTGTTTGACAATGTGGGAAGGGTTTTTGAATAAAATAAAAATTTTTTGAATTTTAAATTAAAAAATTTTTTAAATTTTAAATTTAAAAAAAATTTTATTTATGAAAAAATGAAATAACCATAACAAAAGGGCCTTAAATATCGATTTTAAATTTTTAAAAATAAAAATAAAAAAAATATTTACAAAAAAAAATCTTTAAAATATCATCCCCCCCCTTCCTCAATACTAAAAAAAAATTGTTGAAAAATTACCCCTTCCTATTCCAAAAACCTTCAAAAAATTACCCCTCCCTGTACAAAAACAATCATCAAAGAACACTCCTCTTAACTCAAAAAATTATCAAAAAACCACCCCTTTCACATCAAAAAATCTCCCCCCCCGCCCTATAAAAAATAATAAAAAAAAACACCCCTTCCAATAAAAAAATCATCAAATAATCACCCCGCCTTAGAAAATGATCGTCAAAAAATCACCACTCCCAATACAAAAAATCATAAAAAACACCCTACCCATTTTATAATGCCCATAAGAACACCCATCTAAAATCAAATCATAAAAAACACCCCTCCAACAAAAAAGCATCAAGAATCACCCCTTTGAAACCCTGCAAATAATCAAAAAACACCCCTTTAACCCAAAAAAATCGATGAAAATACTCAATAATCAAATACGAAATCGGATTATTGAAAATTCGAAAAACCAAAACTTGACGCAAATAGCAATACAGCAAAACATACGCGCCAACATCACGTTTTTAAAGGGGAGGAGCGGTGGAAAGATCGAGAAAGCAAAGGGAAAGGCGGTTCATTGGGCGAACCATTCAAAAGTTCAATTCCAGGCGGTTCTATGTGTCAGAAATCAACGCGTAACATGGTCGATTACACGTACGGTAATTCGATCGGTATCTATGGTAAACTGCGGCATATTTTTACTACCCAACCGAATCTTGCACGATCATAATGTACCATGCCATGCTATACCCTACCCTACCCTACCCTACCCTACCCTACCCTACTCTACCCTACCCTACTAAGCCTTAACCTACCCTTGCCTTACTTACTATTCCGTTATCCTACCCTAGCAAGTCTTACCCTATCCTATCCTACCGTACCTTATCCTGCCCTACCCTCCCTTACCAAAGCTGTACCATACTCGACCTTTCCGTGCCCTACCCTATCATGAGCTACCCTATTACAAACTCTCTTATCCTAAGCTTTACCCTATACAAAAAATAGCTCAACACACCCTGCCCTACCCAACCCTCTTATCAAGCCTTTGCATGCAAGTATTACCCTGCCCTTTTTTCTTTTCCTACCCCTTCATATTGTTATTCTGTCTTTATTTATCCTGCCAAACCAAAAATTAACCTACCCCAGCCTAAAAGACGGCCAAGTTTGGAAAAAAAATTTTTAAACCACACCTTTACCTTTAAAACTCGCATTTTTCCAAAAATTGGCCGATTTTCGCCCCTTTCTCTAATAATTAATCTGCAAATCCCCTGAGGGTTTTTTACAGAAAATCTATAGAAAGCGTTTGTAAATCCTCTTCGAACTCTTACAATACTTTTTTCTAATAATCTCAAGTTATCCACCCTACCTGAAAAAATAAGTCTTAATTTACCCTACCCAACAAGTTTTACTTTTTTATCCACCCTACTCAAAAAAAGTTTTACTTTACCATACCCAATAATTTATATGTACCCCAACTAAAAACAAACCTAATATACACTATCCAAAAATTTTAACGTACCCTACCCAAAAACACGCCTTTATTTATCCCTTGTACCCGCCTTAAAAATAGACCTTAATCATCCACCCCGCCCAAAAAAAAAATTTAACTTACCTTACTCAAAAAAATCTTAATCACCCCGTTCAAAAATAAGCCTTAAATTACCCCACCCAAACTCAGGCCTTCGTAATTTATCCGCCTCACCCATAAACAACCTTTATTTTATCTACCCTTCCCCCACCCCCCCTCCCCCTCGCTAAATCAATAAATCTTAATTTACACTACCCAAAAACTTTTATTCGCCCGACCTAAAAAGATTTATCCGCCCCACCTGAAAATACGAATTCGACCAGCCTTGGCGGTTAAATTTGCATGTATTGAGTGCAGCCGCACCCAGAAGTGTCTGCCGCTCTCTGCGAAAGGCCATGGTCTCTAACAGAGAGCCGAATCGAGGGAATTCTTCTAGAACGCGCTCTCTTCTCAGCCCTCCATTATATATACGAATACGACGAATAACGTCATTGTGATATTTATATAGTAAAAAATTGCAAGAACTTTCTTTACAGAGTAAATAATGGCAAGAACTTTATTTACAAGACAAAAAATCGCAAGAATTTTCTTTACAAAGTTAAAAATTGCAAAAACTTTCTTTACAAAACAAAAAATTGCATGAATTTTCTTTACAAAGCAAAAAATATATACGGTTTATTTAAAAACGACCAAAACGCTTATTTGTTTTGCACCGTGCAACAAATTATTTCACTTGCACTGTGCAGTCAAGTTTAAAAAATTCATTTTTAGCTTCGAATTATTGATGTGAAACATATAAATAAGTGATGAAACTAAGTATAAAATGAAG